AAATCCAAGTACTTTTTCTGAATCCTCACAGTTTTTCCTTTCAGAAACCGTGCGGGGAAGCACGTAGCTTGAATACTGACGGAGTTATGGGCCCAAAACGTAAAAAATGGGGTTGCTCAAACCACCTAAATGAAGTTTTGACAAAAATTTTGAGGGAGCTTTTCTCAGGAACTACTGGACCGATCTGGCTGAGATTTTGCACAGAATTTTTTTTTGATAAGGTCTACCTACAAAAAATTTTTCATCATGATCCGAAATGGTGACCTACAAAAGTGGCCCATTTGGGATAGAATTCCCCCCTGGCACTGTGGCCGATTTCCATGACATTTCCATGATATCCATGACGCGTGGCAACCCTGCGTGTGTAATTGTAAGCATGCATTTGTAAGAGTGTTCTTAGGAAACAGTTTGGTTCGTAGTGAAAGCATCGCCAAAAACATTCTGTTTCTTCTTCTGTCCTAGACCCCCTCCTTGCTTGGTAGAAGTTAATGAAACTATTCTCTAATAAATGCGGGTCTAGGACAGCCGACCACACTCTCACTGACCACGTCCTCCATTCACCACTGACAAGTGATCACTCCGTACTCTGACCTCGACAAGCGAAATAACGTTATCGGCTATCGACGTGCCGATTCAATTTCGACTGTCGATCGACAAGTCTGTGTTACTAGGGATTTTGGTAGGCGTTAGAGCACTAATTTCTTGATCAATGTTTGATTTTTCTTGGAGGGTAAAATCAGGAGTTTCTTTGTTGAACTCTATTTTTATTGGCCGGCACAGGCGGGTGGAGGATGATTTAATGTTGAACCACACAACTTTGGAACCGTGGTACAGGCCAATAGGAACAAGAGATGTTATAATTATCTGAGAATCGTGAACATTGGAGTCCGCAAACTTCTGCTTTTACTCGGATTGGTCCGACGATCCATCAAATCCCCTCTTAGAGTGCAGTTTTAGTTTAACTTTGGGGAGATTCAAGCTTTTAATGACGTCTTCCTGTAGGAGTACAAGTCTTTCTGCAGTGTGGTCAAGCAGTGACTGCAGTGGAGTACTTGCCTTCTGTTCTGTCACCAAGTCCACTGGGAAAACTTTTTGCTTAGACTTCGCCACCTCTCGGTACGGGGGATATAGGGCTTTTGCATTACGAGAGATGGACTCATTCCGCAGATGCTGATATTTATATGCCGACAAGTCCAGTTCTATGAGCAAAGAGAGGGCTTTGTCGGCCGTATAGCACTCTACAGGTTTAAAATTCTTCTCAAAATCTATAGCTTTTCGGATTTTTAAAGAACGTGATGGACTTGTCAGCATGGCCTCTTCAACAAGTTTAGCACTATCTTTCAGGCCTTCCTTCTTTGCTTTTTGCACGGTGGCAAAAGCCAGCTCCTCCATGGTAACGGTCTCTGTAAGTTGAGCAGTCTTCCTTCGCTTTGAGCGCAATGTCACATCAGTGAAGTCCTTGGAAGGACGCCCAGCACCAGCAGTGGTTGTGCTTACTGGCTCCGCCTCCTCAATGCAAAATATTTCTTCACCGTCAAGCCACTCTCCATTTTTTTTGTCAAAATATTGTGGATTCCTGCCACATTTGGCCATGCGTTCCTTTATACGATAACATACTTTGGACAGCTTTATTTTGACTGTATTGAAATGGCAGCTGTCATCCTGAATTTTTAGTTCCCTGCAGACAAACGCCACAACCTTTGGAGTTCCCTCAAATGTGATTTTTTGTGCCTCAGGTCCTTCGCAAGTAATTCTCTCCTACTAAAGGATCGTGACGTCGACATGTCATCTGAAAATAACACTGAGTCAACGCAGGAAAAATGATGTACATAACACAGGAACAGAAAAGTAGAAATTTTCCCTTGCTCTGTTTTCAAACCCCACGCCGCGCCGCGCCCTCACCACACTGTAAAAAAAACGTTAACGCTAACGCTAACGTGAAAGCAGATGATACTTATGAGAATGTTTATTTAAATGTATGAATGTGACATTTTGTCAATTTATTTCAAAGAGTAAACACTCGGAACTCTTTTTTTGACAAATTTCTTACGCATGGTAATTCATGAAAATGTCAATTTTAGTATAACTTTTGAATATCCCAACGTGCCATTGTTTTGTGTTAAACATGTTCGCAATGACGGTGGGACACTCATATGTCCGATACCACTTGTGTTGGGTATCATTTTCGTTGTTTCGACGCGAGGATGCACAATTTGGTGGCTAATCACATAAATTCTCAATACCCGTAAAATTTGTGTTCGGTACTAGGGCAAGGCGCCTTGCGAAAAATGCCTTCACACTAAATGTCATAGGACTTTTTTTTTGTCCCACGGTTTATGCAATTTTAAGCACATCCGGTGGTGATGCAATTTTGTGTCCGCCAGGCGGGACAAATTGTCTAGTGAAAGTACAAGTTGCAGCTGGCGCCGGACAAAATGTGTCACCAGACGGGAACAAAATTGTATCAGCGTCGGATGTGCTTAAAATTGCATAAACCGTGGGACAAAAAAAGTCCCATGACATTTAGTGTGTTTGAAAAATCGTGTTTTGGGCCGATTTTAAGCAGCCTCTGCGTCTTATTCGAGGCGGGCCTTCGTACTTTCTCAACGGTCAATTGGTCTTTGGGACCTTCCTTTTAGCATGCCTTTATTACGGAGTGCGATTATGCGCCTTAGTTTTAGTGCAGTATTGTCTCAAAGTTGATCAAAACGGTCAAAAATGCCTTTAAAGTCGGTTTTGATCAATTTTAAGACGATACTGCACTAAAATTAAGGCGAATAATCACACTCCGCCTAAAGGAAGGTCCAAAGACCAAACGCCTAGTTGCCTACCCGGGCGGCGCGCGCGACCTCCACCGCCCGTGGCCGAGGGGTGCGTCAAACTGGTTGCCTACCTGGGCGGCGCGGTGCCTCGCCCTTACGGGGAAGTCCGCAGTTTCCAGTGTGAGCTGCTGACCCTTTCCTGCTTATTCTGAAAGTGGAAACTCCAAGGAGTCCGATTAGGCAACGGCAAAACGGCCTTGCAACAGAGAAAAGGGTCGAAATTGCCGTTCAACATATTATGGCATTTAACATAAATTTGTTGTTTTTTGGAGCTTTGACTGTGTCTGAGGCCCCAAAAGTCAAATGCACGCGCAGCATCGTGATCCTCGGGAAATTCTGCGTGCCGACTAGGACGTTGTTTGGGAAGGCCATGCCTTTTTAAAGGTTTCACAGTAAAACAAGTTTTAGGGGAAAAGTCAAAAGTTGGGCATAGGGCTAGCTCCTAAACGAGACCCATACACAATATCGGGGCCCATCTTAAAATAAGCTTATGGTGTCCCCTAACTGAAAAAAAGTTGAAACGGGCATGTTTGGATTGGGGGCTAGTGGATACGGCCTGTCGCGTAAACCCCTAAAATAACTAAATTTCCGTAAAAAAGTGCCATTTTTGGATTTTTATTGGAACGCTATCGGAAAACCGACGCCAGATTCGGATTCCCCAGACAATTTTGAGTCTAGGAACGTCGATCAGGCGGAGGAAAGGCCGTCGGGGCGGCCAGCGCGACGACTTTTCCAAAAATGTGCATTTTGCTGAAAAAGGTGAAAATGATTTTCAGGCGAAAATTAGATTGCTCACTGCGCCCATGTTAGTTGAGCTAGGGGGTTCAAATTTTGTGGGCTTACTTATCCCTATGGGGATAACATTTGAGCCAACTTTCATCAAGATCTGACGACATGAGATTCAGGTCGTGCCAATCCCCTGGAATTTTCCCCACAACCTAAGTCGAACAACAAACATTGGGACGCTGGAGTATGAAAAATTTACCATGGCAGGACTACTGGCGCGTGATACGAACGCGGTGGGCTCGCGACGATGCCCGTTTGGGTCACTTTTGAGGTGTTTTTAGGCCCCCAAACACACATTTGACCCCCTAAAAAACTGTCTGAGGTGCAATTCCGGGCGAAACTTTTTTGCCCCTTTAAGAAGAAGGAATAAGGGGCATTTTCACCAATTTCCAAGAAAATCCAAGATGAGGTATTTTGGTGGTGTTGAAATGAAAATCGAAAACTTTGAGACACTACACTGCAAAAACTATGCTCGCTAGAAACGTGTCCGAGCGCGGGATCTATTCCTTTTTGGCCCGCCCTTCTATTCAAAAAATAGGGGGAGGGCCTATGCATTTGCCTTTGTGTCTGTGTGTTGTTGTTGTCGTTGTTGTTGTTGTTGGCGTCTGTGTACAAGGAAGGAGTTGAGCTAGAGTAACCAGATTTGGAGGGTACTTTAGGAGTACCGTCCAAACAAATAATCCGGTGGTGCAAATCCCGTCCGGGTCGCACAAGGGCTGCTGCAGGTGCATCATGGTTTACATGAGCGGGCGGGGGATTTCCGCCATTATTCGTGCTAGCAGGGCACATAGGGGTATTTTTGGAATCGGGGCGACGAGACAAGATGAATGGACCTGGTCCCGACCCCATCGGCCGCTTTTACCAGTTGGCCAGATCAGGATCTTCAAAAAAGAGGTCGACCGACTAAAAAAATTTATTGCAGATTTCGATTGGTCTCAGCAAGACCTTTTCAACGAGGGGTCGGAAAGGGGGTCCAGGAGCCCGACTTCGTCTATTAGTCACATCAGGATCTTGAAAAAAGGGGGTCGACCGACTGAAAATTTTTACTTAAGTTTTCGATAGGTCTTGGCAAGACCTCTTCAACGAGGGGTCGGAAGGGGGGTCCAGGCGCCCGCCTTCATGAGTTATGGGAAAAAGTGCGACGGACTCGTTTTGCGCTCCTGTTGTGCCTCTATTGCAAGGAGTTGCAGTAGCATGGCAATACGGGTATTTTCGGAATGAGGGCGAGAGACAAATGAAATGGGCATATTCTAAGGCAGTTGGAGTAAAAAGTGTAAGGACTATTGCATATTGTGAATAGAAGGGCGGGCTAAGTCACGATGGTACATCGATAACTTTGCTTTACCCGCTCACGGTGTGCGTGATGCGAGCGGGCCGAAGGTCCGGGCCTTCGACTGGCCAAGTTGGGTCTGATGCGAGGGCCGAAGGCCCGAGAAAAGGCCGCCGGCAGGCCAAGCTGGGCCGGCCCCCTGTCGAACCGAGTTGCCGGCGCAGCGAAGCGGAGCTGGCAACTCGGTTCGACGGAAGGGTGGGCCCTAGCTTGTTTTATGCTCTTTTTAGCGGTAGTCTCGTTTTTTCGATAGCTTGAAAATTGGCCGATATAGTTGAACTTTTATGAAACTTGTCACTAATTTAAACGAAAACCATCAAAATGACCCATGCCCAGATCTCGGGAACGGCTTGACCGAATCGGCTCAAATTTTGCATACATCAACTAGACCCTAATTGGTGACGATCCACCAAAAATGAGCGAAATCGGTGAGATCGCATCCGAAAAGTGTCTCATTCACTGGCAAAAAGCTACAGAAAATTCTGTAAACAGCTTGTAGTAATTCTCCGTAGCCCCCTTATCAATATTCTCCACAGTATTTTCCGTAGGACCGCACATTATTCTCCGTAAGACCTTACAGTGATCTCCGTAGGACTATACAGTCTTCCAGGTCCTACGGAGAAGACTGTGCGGACTTACAGAGAATACTGTACGGCCCTACGGAGAATACTGTAAGAGCCTACAGAGAATATTGATAAGAGGGCTACGGAGAATCCTGGCAAAAAAATTAACAGAATTTTCCGTACCTTTTTGCCACAGTGTTTAAAAAATAATTACCCAGAAACCGGTTACGGAGTGATGCTACACTTTGGAAAATATTCGCAGTTAATTCTTAGGCTTTTTTGACAAAAATACAATTACATCATTCATTTGATTGGATTTAGTTTACCCTGCAAACAGTTTTTTGTTTCCCCTGAAAAATAATGAAAATTGAGTTATCCCCTTCTTCCGGTTCATGGATCAAATACCGCAGGAATGACACAGGCTGTCCTCTTGTCCGTCGGCGCCCCGCTGAGTTTCGCTAGTGTCCGGAAAAGGTCGGGTATGTGATCACGCAATGCGCTGCATCCGGTTTTAGGGAAATCCATGATGTAGAAGTTTTCTTTCCATTGGTTGTTCGCTCGTAGTGCCCAATCAATCCGTGACTGAAATGTGATGTAACTCTTTAGAGTCAGGGCGGGGAAAAATCGAACACCCTTTTTTTTTTTTTTTTTTTTGACTGGATTTCCTAATTTTGAGACAAAAACCGTTACACGTTGGGTGTAGGGAAAGGTGCCCAGTAATGGCCGCTTTTAGGGCACTGATGCGCCTTCAACCCCTTTACTGAGTGTCCCGCACGTCGTACCGATATGAAAATTTTCAGGAAGGATAGAATACAGGTTAAGGTTGAAAACCAGCAAAATTAAATTTATTTTTTAAGAAAATATTAACCAAAATATCAGTATAGTTTGCCAAGTGATGGCCACCTTTTGCCCAGTGATGGGAGCACTTTGTTTTCGTTTTTGACAGAGAACCCACTTTGAACTGGTTTGCACCGTGTTCGAAGGTAAGGTACATGGGTCGCTGTGTCTGAGGACGGTTTTTCTAGCGAATATCAGCTACATTCATGCGCTCATCCCACATTTTTACTTATTTGAGATGGAACCGCCCAGCAGCTTCGCAACATCAACCTAAACCCTCATAAATTTGTTACCAAATCTTGAGGAGAAACGTGTTTGCCTTACCCAAAAATTGTCCGTAAAATTTAAATTGAATGTCACATTTCCCCACATTTTTTGAAGATCGAAAGGTCGGACTGGGTTGAAGTGGGAAAAGCGGACGAAATGCGAAATGGTTCTATCTGATGGGCACATCGTAGCCGAATGGACATAGGCGATGAACGGCCCCTAGAAACATACAACTTCGTGAGGACCGAACAGTAGGCCACAGAATTTCCAGTGCTTACGAACACCTGTGAGGTAAAGAAAACACAGAACACAAACTAAATGAACATTGTGCCTTGCTGGATGCAACTTTGTGCGCATTCAATTGCGAGGACAAAATCGTATCTGTTCAAAGACAAATTGTAATTTTCGAGGTAAAATCTGTACCCACTAAAAGATAAAATTTATTTTCAGATTTCAATGTGGACGAAGCCGTACGTATTGAGCCGGGAGCACTGAAAATCAAAGTGTTAGACAGTCACATGTGGCTCACGCTGTTAAGGCGGAAGATCACGCCGCGCACGAAACTAAAATCCGCCAGGCTGCGCCACCGTCTGCAGCCGAGGGATGGGCTGGCTGCTCTGCCGGGCGGCACGTGCTGCCTGCGTAGCGCTCTGGCCGATACAGTTCACCTGCTGTCAGTATTCCCCAAACAATGGCGAAGTCATTTCAGTTTACTTTCCTGTCCGCTCGCCCGGGCGGGGGGGGTGGGGGGGAGCCTCAGGTAGTCCGGCTAGCCCAGGGGGTGCACGCGGCCGGCTGCGGCCGGCCTGCCGGGGTCTACCTGGCCGCCGGGGTGCGTCAGCCCCGCCGCATGTGTCGCCGCGTGGTCGCCGCATTGTCTTTGTCGCACTGGCAGCAGTCAGTGGGAAAGACAGAGACGGACAATGACACCGCCGGGACTAGCTTCCCGTACGCCACCCAGGGAAACCCGGCAGCCCAGCGGAGAGCCTGGCGAGATGTTCGTCGGCCTCCAGCAAACTCCAGTCAGGTGGCAAGAAAATTTTACTAGGGGTACGCGCCGTTTAGTTTGGGCGCGTAGTAGGCGAGCGATGCGTCTGAACACATTCTTATAGGAGATGGCGAAGAATATGTGCACAATAAGGCCAATACAGTGTCTTCCGTCACGAAAGGGCCGGAATTCATGTCATTCTCGTGATTATCTTACTGAAAACTGCAGGAAACAATGGGAAACTCAACTTTGAAATTTTGGTCACAAATTGGTAAATTTTGGGAAAAGTAAAGGTCTGGGATGAAATTGGAAGTCATTTTCGTGATCAGCACCCCAAAAAAACTGCAGGAAACTATGTAAAACTCGACTAAAAAATTTTTGGCCCAAAAAGGGGAAAAATTTTTGGAAAAGTAAGGGTCTGAGATGAAATTGGAAGTCATTTTCGTGATCAGCACACCAAAAACTGCAGGAAACTATGTATAACTCGACTCAAAAATTTTGGTCCGAAATTGGTAAATATTTGGAAAAGTAAAGGTCTGGGATGAAATTGGAAGTCATTTTCATGATCAGCACCCCCAAAAACTGCAGGAAACTATGTAGAACACGACTTCAAAATTTTGGTCAGAAATTGGTAAATTTTGGGAAAAGTAATGGTCTGGGATGAAATTGGAAGTCATTTTCGCAATTTCTAAGTGTGTTTCCTGTTCATTGTGTCGGAACATGAACCCTGACACTGTTACTCAGTCGAGTAACATTCAACAGCCAGCATTGAATTACTTAATACGATTCACAAATGCTTCAATTACCATTCGATATCTCCTTGTTATTGAACTTATGAATACACAATGTTATAAGTAATACCTAAAAAGCCTTTTATCTCCCTTTTATTTTAAACTAGTGGATAAAACTACATTGATTTATCTCAAGTAATTAAAAAGAGACACATTTACAGGCAGGCTGATTGCAACTACTTTACGGAGAAGACCTTCTGTCAGATCCAATGAATCGTTCCATTTAATTCAATGTCGAGCCCACTTATTGCTAAACGCAAGTTAATCTTATTCAAAAAGATAGTCATGATGTGATATTTAATCTTTAAAACAGTATAGCATAAGTTTTACCTAACATTCTGAAAATTTAAAAAAGACAGCCAACTCAAACCATGACTGTCACAAATTACCAGTTGTCGCAGACAATGTATGATGAATTTAAAAAATCGTCTCTGAAATCATATGACCAAGTCACTGAACCGTCTCATTGATCAGATGTCAAAGTAAAAACCATGTGTGCGCTACTCTCACTCACCATATAGTTATCTTTAAGGTTAGTACTATAGTAAAATTACAGCATTGCTATGAAGCCTTTCCCCAGAGTCAGTGCCAAGAGTCAGCAAAGACTATTTATTTTTGGGAAGATTAGTGTCTGGTTTGTACTTTTAGATTGCATTGATCTATTTTCTAACTGTTATTGAGCAAAACAAACAACTAAAAATATAATGTCTGAGAATAAAAAAGGAAAAACACTCTCAAAACTTAAAAAGACCAAATCATTCTTGCAATTATCAAACGATCAAAAACACTCCACTGACTAAAACATTTCCCCTGTGGCGGGGGAGGGGAGGGGGGGGACGGACGGACGAAACGCGTAATAATTGTCACTTTTATTTTTCCCTATTTCACTGTGTTTTACACTCCGGGGGGGTTTCAATCATTCTAGAATATCGAAAAAAATAAAATCGAACTCACTTCTAAGCCCTTCTCCTCTCTATTTTTTTTTATTTGCCAATGTTTTTGCCATCCGTATTTGAGAGCCGCGCCGCAAGTATGAAAAATTGCTATATATGCTGCCAACCTAACCACGCTAAGAACCTAATTCAAAAAGATGTTTTGAATATTTCAAACGGTAGTAATCGTGAATACAAGATAAACTCCCCCTGTGGGACCTTTAGGGGATGTTCGGTACAAAATTTGGTAACTATTAGTGTTGTAGTTGCTGAGAAACGTGAGCGTGTACGCTACAGACAGACAGACAGACAGACAGACGCACGACCAGTCACTTTTTGGAGCGCCCAAACACGGCAAGGGCTCGCTATCGCTCGCCAAAAAAGTTTTGAGATTTGGGTCAAAAATTGTGTATTTTTGTATACTATTCCAAAGCGCGTTTCAAGACACGCTGATCATTTCTATACCCATTTCTCCGAGATGGATTTAGGTGAAGGAGATGATGCTTTACTTGTTTTCGGCGCTATTTGAGTTGCGCGGACATAAACAGTTCACAGTCCGCTTCAGAGTTTTCACTGAAATTCGACAGGGGCTTAAAAGGGCGATTGGCGGAGGGGGGGTATATTTTTTCGGGTTTCAGACGTCTTGTCTTTTTGGTGAGAGGTCAAAGTGTTGCATGGAGCCCTGCGCTGTACTTCGTAAATGTGCTAATTTGTTAAATTGAATGTGTAAAGGTAATCTGCAAAAAAATACATGGATTAGCGCTTTACTTTAAAATCCTTGCGTGACCTGAAATAAATATTAAAAATGAGATTTAAAAATGGTACAATTCTTGTGGACCGGGCTTGGGGGGCACTCTGACCGCCCCCAAGTGGTGACAGACATTTGACCGAATAGAGAAATACAATCCCCCCCCGCCATTAGCCTTTAAACGCCCCTACCGAATTTCCCTCGAAAAATTCAGATTCAATTTTGAACTGTATGTCCGCGCAAGGGGAAAAACCCGCGTGGTACTCAAGTGGACAGTTCCCTGCATCCATCATCTGGGGAATTAAATATGAGTCATGTCTTGAAACGCCTTAAAATGCGCCAAATGTTTAAAACTCAAATCTCAAAATTAAAAATTTTAGGCCAATGATGCAGATGGTGCCGGCGAAGCTGGCGAGTGTCGGCGACCGGTGGGCTGCCGCGGCCGCAATTTAAATTTAAAAAATTTTTATGACGCATCTCGTGCCTTGAGACACGGTCTGTTGGCGCAAATGCGACCGGGTAATTCCACGGAAGCGAATAACACTTTTTCGGCGCGACCTCACCGATTTCGCTCAAACTCGGTGAATCTTCTTACTATGCCCTTTTGGGTCCCTCAAAATATTTGCACTTTATCTCAAGCCGTTTCCGTGATATAAGCATTTGTAAATTTTACAACTTTTTTGAAAAAAGTTACATTTTTTTCAAAAGCTGAAATATCTGGGCCCAAATTTTTAAAGCTACAAAAAAAAACCGAGTACACCGTTGGAAAGAGCAAAAAAAAAATGAATCAAATCAAGTTTTAAAACTCCTTAAGGTCCTGAACATTTTATCATTTTCTCTCAAACTAAAAAAAATGGGTTTTTTTGCTATACCCAAATACCTCATTTTCGATTTGCTTCAAACTTGGTGGGAAGGCTCCTCAACCATCTACTTTATCCCCTAAATTTTGGGGAAATTTTTTTTTCCCTCGTTCGCCGTCCACAGGGCCCAACGTTTCGGTGCACCCAAAAAACAGCAAAAAACAGCCGAAAAATTGACCTTTGGCCACCGTTGCCTCCCCTGGTTGTTTGAATTGCGCGCCAACAGTTGCGTGGTTCCCAAATTTTTTGGCCCGTCCCGTCCGTTCGTTCGTTCGTCCGGGGACTTCCCGTGGTCCGATCTTGACCAATTTGGTATGCACCTCCTTGGGTGACCCTTAGAACCGCCCGGTGGCAGCAAATCCGATCCGAGCCCCGGGGGTGCTGCTGCAGGTGCATCACGGTCTACATGGGGTCGAGGAGGATTTCGGCAACGGATACAGCTAGCAGGGCATGTAGGGGTATTTTTGGAATCGGGGCGACGAAACAAAACCAACGGTGCCAGTTTCAAGCAAATCGGAGAAGTTTGGACCCGGGTTCAAATCCCAGTGGGGTATATTTTGAACATTCTTTTTATTCGAGTTTGTGCATTGTTTCTTATTTTTTTGAGGGTGTTGATGACGAAATAACATCCATTTTGACCCCAGACTCCAGTTCAAAGCCGTCACGGTTAAACAAAGGCGAAATTCACACATTTGTTAATGCACGGGACGGGCCAAAGTTGATGTATATCGCTACTTTTCCTGTTATTCATACTTCAACCCGTTCCGCCACCTTGTTTTGATTCGCTTTCGTGAAGAGGTTAGAGGGGTTCGTTACACAGCAACGGATTCAAGAGTTTCATTACTTTTAATTTCATGACAACATGCAGTGCTACCCCAAAACAGCCGGCCCACTGATTGTGGTCCGGAGGGTGCCGGCCGAAGAACTGATTCTGTCATGGAACTGTTTTCGAAAAAGAAGTGGTCTCTGTCAGAGTATAGCAAAGTTTGTGTCAAACACTTTAAAGAAATTATATTATTTCCCCTTCGCAAAAGAAAATGTGTTGATCCATTTCATAGACACAGGAAATGTGTGTCTAAGAATCTTTCAGAGGTTAAAGTGTTCCATAAAGTGTCTCACACACACTTTTTCTATATTCTGACAGAGACCACTTCTCCTTCGAATTAGTTCCGTCAAAAAATTACTAAGCCTTCGGTCGGCACCAGCCTGGGCCACAATCAGTGGTCCGGCTGTTTTGCAGGTAGCACTGCAAGTTGTCATGAATTAAAAAAATAAACTCTTGAATCCGTTGCTGTGCAACGAATCCCACTAACCTCTTCACAAAGCGAATCAAAAAAAGGTGGCGGAATGGGTTGGAGTATGAAAAATTGGCAACCACGCAACTGTTGGCGCGCAATTCAAACAACCAGGAGAGGGAACGGTGGCCAAAGGTCAAATTTTTTGGCTGTTTTTGCTGTTTTTTGGGTGCACCGAAAACGTTGGCCCTGTGGACGGCGAAAGAGGCAAAAAAAATTCCCCAAAATTTTAGGGCATTAAAGTAGATGGTCTGAGGAGCCTTCCCACCAAGTTTGAAGCAAATCGAAGATGAGGTATTTTTGGGGTTTGCAAAAAACCCATTTTTTCAGTTTGAGAGAAATGATAAAATGTTCATGGCCTTAAGGGACGTTTTAAGACTTGATTGATTCATTTTTTTGTGCTCTTTCCAACGGTGTACTCGGTTTTTATGTAGCTTTAAAATTGGCCGAGATATTTTAGCTTTTTTAAAAAAGTGTAACTTTTTTCAAAAAAGTTGTAAAATTTACAAATGCTTATATCTCGGAAACGGCTTGAGATAAAGTGCTAATATTTTGCAGGGATCCAAAGGGCACTAGTAAGAATCGATTCACCGAGTTTGAGCGAAATCGGTGAGGTCGCGCCGAAAAAGTGTTATTCGCTTCCGTGGAATTACCCACCAGGGAATTCCATCTGAGAGCTCACAGCGACTCGCATCGGCTTCGCCGGACTTCCCTGGCCGCCATGGCGTCCAAGGCTGCGTACGGGCCGACAGACCGTCACCATGTGGGCCCCTAAAGAGTCAGCAAAAATTAGATCACACCATCCTCTCGGCTCACTGTTCCTCTACGGCCCTGTCAAATTTCAGCCTAAAATTCCAAGCAGTGCCTGAATGGTCGATGTCCGCGCGAAACTGCGCGTCACATTTCTTCCCTGCGGCGGCTGGTATTGCTGCACGCACGATTCGAATCGGCGCGCGAGCGCGCCAAAGCTCCGAGCGGCCACGTCCTGGAGGGCAGCATTCCGTCCTCCCCGCACTCCCTCGTTCCGCGCAAGGAGCGAGCGACGTGCTGGCCTGCAAGGCAGCCAGCCTGGACGCGGCCGCCGGCCGATCGGTCTGTCTGCCTGCAGCGCGCTGCAGCGGCACCCTGGCAGTGCCGAGCGCAGCCAAGCCGTAGCCTGCCCCCCGGCCCCCGCCACCACCCCTCGTGCTGTGCGGGCTGGTATCAAAGATATCCAGGAAAGTCGGGGGCTCCGGAGTGCTAGTGTTTGCGCGGACATATTTTCACCCCGCTCGGAATTTTGCGATGAAACTTGGTAGCTGGGTTGGTTCGGCGAGATGTGGGAATTTGAGGCGCGGGATTTCCAAGATTTCAATGTGCGGCTTTTCGGATGAAATTTTGCAGGCTCATTCAAGATGGCTCTAGAGTGGTCCCCAAGAAATATCAAAGCTTAATTCGTTCCAGTTTTGTTTCAAATGGCTTAAATGTTGAAAGCGTACTTTGGGTCGATGTTTGTTACACGCGCGTCGACGTTCGTTACGTTCAAGTGGTTTGGGTGGAATTTCAAAGTGGACAAAACTGACATCTATTTATAGAAATCGATTCGTCTGATCAGGACAAACAAAAAATCCTAACATATGTAATAGGCTTGGATGCGAAACAAACAAGTATTTAAGCTTCAAAAGTGCAGTAACAGGCGTCGACGCCGGGGTCCTGGCTGATTACACTCCAAATCCAGTGGCTAGTTTCCTCGCCACTGGAGTGGCGTCTTTTCCAAAGCGCCAAAATTTGGCGTTGTCATCCCTGGTTTCCGGATTCCATGCCAAATTTTGGCGTTCCACAGAGAGCGCCAAAATTTGGCGTTCCATTCCCCAGAGCACCACAGACCAGAACGCCAAAAATTGGCGCTGCAAAAGAAATGCAATAATTTGGGTTGGAAAGCGATACCCATTCACAGAAAAATAAATGTGCATACAATAGTTTTCAGTGCCTAGGATCCCCAGTTCAAATCACAGCAATTATACTATGAAAAGTAGAACTGGACAAGTAAAATACAAGACCTACATTTGTATTTTCAGGTTACGTGTCAATGCCGCTGACCAACTATTGAATCACTTCGGTTTGGCCAGCGATTCCTGAGACACTTGGAAAATGGTACTCACATCAACACAAAAAGCTGGATATCACTGAGTCACTCTCTCTTGATACAGGGTTGACACAGCAAGGGGTCTCAGTCCATTCTCAAATCAGGAAGGCTTGAGCTAGCCTCAGAGCCCTAGCCTGGCCCTGCCGCATCACACCACTCCCTCTTCAAAATCTTCCTCAGAACAACACTTGAATAGTTTTGAAATGGCCCGAGAGCACTCAGGCCTTTCGAAAGTACTGCGACACGATAAAACATGACTGACACACACTATCGTTGACCGTGGCGAGACGAAATGCACACAAAAGTAACAATTTGAATGTTTCGTTTGTCTAAGAGGAGTAGCCATGTTTACTGTTTTTGTTGTTTTGCTTTTGTTGATTGCTTATGCGCCCTAACCTGTTGAGTGCGAATAAAACGTGGAGGGCGAATAACATGTTATTCTCCCGATTACATCACACGATAAAAACGGAACCTGGTTTTCGCAGGAACTGCCTGGAAATCGCCTATGTCTTGTTTTGAACCTACCATACTCCTGTAGAAGTATTTCCACCGTTGCAGTTTTGTTTAATATCAATTTCGAAGCCGACTAGGGTTCGGTGCAGGCACAAAACACGCTTAGAGCCGCGAAATACAAATGCCGGTAGCAAGTGACGCAATTTGCGGACAAAACTTTTCTTCCACTTTACGAACGAACGAATCGACTCAGGGTTTCGGGACTTAGGTTAAAATGTAGACTAGTGTGTCCACTCTCGAAAACACACAAAACTTTGGGTGTTTTAACGGCGTTATAAGGAATTAGACTTCACATTGTGTTTCAATCGGGGATTAGGACACCGACAAAACGGCCATTTTTGTACCTTTCCGGCGCTATATGTGGTACAAGAAGTCAAAAATTTTGACTGAATACATGTACATGCCTTTCTCTGAAGGTGTTTTGCTGTTACATAAGGGGTATTTGCTGATAGGAAGTCCGTGCAAGTGGTAATTGAGCTAAACATCTTTGATTTTAAAATTTCCACATTTTGACAAACCAACCCAGCTGCATGGAGCATTAGTTTACGCAGGGAATGACGTATTTTATTTTCTCCTGAGGCTTCAGGGCGCTTTGCAGCGTAAGATCAAAACACAGAGCGATTTTCAAGGTTTTTCAAGGGCTCTGCAGGGCGAAATAGGCCCTTCCGCGAAATATGAAATATGTCATTCCCTAGAGGAGGTCAAGACGAACCGAGGGATACCTAAAAAATAACACAAATGTGCACATTCTAGGAGTGGTCTATGTCCGCGTTAGTGAATTTTACAACTTTAACAAGCTTTTCCGGAAAAACTAAAAACTCTTTCAAAAAACCGATACCAGGGCTTTCATGTACTCAGCGAGACCTTTCAAATGGTGTATTCACCTAAAAAAATTTGGTCGTGATCTTCCGCCTTAAGCGTGAGACACATAGACTGTCCCGCCGTCCTTCACTTGGATTTGATGCGTACAAAGTTGTCCCTGGACAATTAGTTTACAGTTATTTAAGCAAGTAGAAACGGACCGTTCAGACTGACGAGACCGAACGTAGAAACATAACTTCCCTGGACGTACGGCATAAGTATTGATGTTTTTGCATCGGACGTGATCGGAGATCAGAAGCGGTACGAGAGTCCACATTACGATGGAGGGGAGGATTGATGACATGATGGACCGAGGAACTACCATGGAACAAAGAACTTCTGCATATATGGCTGGGTCTGACTAACTTCAGGTGGTTGGAGCAGTGTTAACCAATAAGAAAATATACATCTTGCGGATGGCCTCCGAGCGTGGGATCTAGGAGCTTTTGGGTATACATGGTTTTACACCAATATAAAAGAAGTCATGGCAGTTCCTGGCTTCGCGCAACATTAAACCCGAAGACAAGGTCGGAGGTAAGTTTAATCTTGTCACTATTTTACGTAGGCGATGATATAGCAAATTGATGGCCATGTCTCCTTGAGCTGTATGTTTATAATAAAAGGTGACGTGGGAAATTTGAATTGCCATTACGTGGGTGGAAACAATCGGCAAAAGAGGGTTTAGAGTAAAATGCCTACCCCGTTTAACGAGTTTATATTATTGCTGCTGCACACTTGCTTTAATTTATACTGAAAATCTCAAAGGAATTTAAATGCATGTCTATAGATTTCAATTGGTAAGCGTAGTCCTTACCAATATATTTCCCCCACTGTGGCAAAAAGGTACGGACAATTCTGTTAATATTTTTGCAAAGATTCTGCGTGGCCCTCTTTTCAATATTCTGCGTAGGCTCTTACAGTATCCTCCGTAGGACCTGGAAGACTGTATAGTCCTACGGAGATCACTGTTAGGTCCTAAGGAGAATATTGACAAGGGGGCTACGGAGAATTACCACAAGCTGATAACAGAATTTTCCTGAGCTTTTCGTCACACTGGCGCCACACTGGTTCCTGTTTGTGAGAAAATAAGTTCAGAATGAGATTTTACATGCAACTTAGCTCCTTAACTGCGGTCTCTCACATTCTTCGCGCATCGAGAAACTACTCGTTCGACATTCTGCACTCTACTCGCAGTATTTGTAGCATTTTGGCACGAAGCTGCGAGACGCTTCAGGCGAGCCCGCAAGCGTGTTTTGTGTTCAAAACGACCATCCATTCATCCGCATGATGGCCATATCACGAAGCAGATTCATCCTGCAGACCAGGACATGCAGGACATTTGATGCACCTACAGTGCACGGTGAAAAGTTTTAAAAGTTCCCAAATTTAAATCTTAAAAACCCTCTTAAATTTTATTGCACTCTCCACTGGTATTCTGGAAGAAGGTAGTCACCAGCCACAGGTTAGTCCGCACCGTTCTCAACTCGGTTCTCAAACACGACCTATCGATTTTGACTTCACTGCAAATCAAAGTCCACGGTAGGTAGCGTGGACCACGCTAGGAAACGTGGACCACGAATGGTCCACGCTAGGAAACGTGGACAACGAATGGTTCACGCTAGGAAACGTGGACCACGAATGGTCCACGGTAGGAAACGTGGCAAATGGTTCACGCTAAAAAGCGTGGACCAAGCAGTGGTCCACGCTACGAAATGTGGACCAAGCCGTGGTCCACGCCAAGGGGGTATTCACTCCCCTAAAATGGTCGACATTCGAATACCTTGTGAAAAGTATTACATGAATTACATCCAATTACACCTAATCCATCAATTACGGGTATTGCAGTTCTAATATTTTATATTAACACTTCATGATCCTGACTTCGGATGGTTCTCTAGAATCTGTAGAATATGGGCTTGTTTCAGTCAATGTAACGTCATTGAATTTTTTGACACCAAGGGCACCTGATGAAACAATGTACAGATCTTCAGTAATGTCAAGCTCGTCTTCCTGCTCTTCTTCGATTTGGGGGTTGTCATCGTCATCAGGGTCGACATCAAGGAGTTCAGAGTCAATATCTTCATTGTCAACGTCTTCATAGCATTCATCAGTCACACTGACATCCATTTCAATTTCTTTGAGACGGGTTAGGTTTCTCTGGAAGAAAAAGTGTGGACAGTACAACAAAAGTACATCAAAAACTGTACAATAAAAATATAACAGGGATTGTAGAAAGTAAAACGAGAACTGTACAAACCACAACGAGCCTTGGACTGCACAGCACTCGTCATGCCGGTTCCATTGTACTCTGTACAACAATTGTTGCACTTGAAAAGTACACTAAATTCCTAATAAAAAATTTGCCAGAATTTTGTGTACTTTTGTTGTGGTTATTTCCTGCAGTGTTTTTGAAACAAGATTAAACTTCTTGGCAAGGGAAACTGCTTTCTGAAGAGCATTTAATACAGCCACTTCTATCTCATAGTTTTCCGGTAAACAAGTTGTGATGTGAGCAGAAGCATTTGCAAGTGCGACTGCCTTATGGGGACGAGGTAATTTGATAACCTGAGACAGATTTGCATACGTTGCAGTCAAACGACCATCCCTTCTGAAGTTGTTTTCAAGAGCACTCATGGAAAAGTTGGTCTGAGCAGCTTTGGCAGGGCTGGAGATAAAATTATTTTTAATCGTATAATCTCCCTTCTGCTTCTCCAACCAAGACCTCCACATGCGAAAGGAAAAACACCCACTTCCACAACATATTTAAATCAATTAAAATATATAGGAGCAGGATAGCAGCTCTTCAAAAAATATGAAGGAAAGTGAGCAATTACTGCTCTCGGGGAAAACGAAGAATGAACTCTGACGATAGTGACTCCAAGAGGTGTATTAGAAGTTCATGTGCATCCTGTTGTTCTCCAAAACTGCTGTGGGGAAAACACCTGTGAGCAGCAAAGAATAAATACATAACATTCATTCCGGTTTTTGGGACATTGAATTCACATTGAATTAAAATTAATGGCAAAATTATGAAGCCATTAAACCTGGTTGATAAACCAGAATACTCACTGGAAAGGTGCTGGATGAGATGGTTTAAATCATGAACGGTCCTAGAGTGCATGTGGTCAAAAATTGAGTAAAGACCACATGAAACACAATTCTTGGAGGAGCTGGTAGACCTATGAGTTTCATCATGACGAAGCCACTGAATAAATACACAGTGGTACGAAACGGCTAAAATTGCGACAAAAATATTTGAGCGTACCAAAGGACTTCTTGGGCCACAAAAAAGTTAAAAAAGTGTCACAAAGGTGCACCGGAGCTATATTGCCAGTGTAGGGTCGCAAAAACCTCAAAAAACGCCGAAAAATGCCGTTTTTGGGGTCTTTCCTTGTGATTAAAATGACTTCTAATTCGAATCCGCACTATCTCTAAGCGCTAAAAGATAGCCTAATATGTGTACTTTGATACCCTGACAGCCCCTAGGCGACCAGACACCCGGGATTTTTAATACACGCAACTTAAGGTAAAATAAATTGTCTGAAAACCCGAAAAAAAGATTTTTTCAGGGCCAAACCCGAGCAGATTAATATCAGTTGCTGTCAAATGGCAATAATGGCTGACAAATAGACTCTTTCACTCATCGCGAAGTAAAGAAATATAGTTCTTTAAATGTCGGGAACCAGTAGCGCACCAGCGGCTATCATTGTAAACAGTCAAAAGCTGAATCCTGATTGGTTACAAGCGTAGCTCTGGACGAAGCTCACTGCAGTGGCCGCTAGGTGCCGCGCAGCTTCACTGAGATTCCGAACGCTTTGAGTATAGCACGTATGGCGCAATGCAGCTGAGATATCGCACCATACGTGCAATGCCAATAAACGTTAATTAAACGGAAACGGACACTGAAAATCCAAACGCTATGAGTATACTCTAAAAATCAAAGAGTGTACATGGTATGCTCTAACTGGAGTATGCCTGCAAGCACGCTCTATCTAGCGCATGCCTGCCAAGCATGCACTAACTAGTGCATACATGCCATGTACACGCTTCCTGATGCAGAAAACTCCCTATCGCTTATGCAGTAAATGAACGCTTCAGTTATCGTGTACATGGCATGTATGCCGCAAAAGTGGATGCCGCAAAAGTGATGGGACAAGTGGTGTACCTTGATATATGTCGAAGACAAACTATGTCCCATCACTTTTGCGGCATCCGGAAGCTTCTATCGCAAGTTGAAGATGCGTCCCCCCTGCGTCGCCCCTGGCACCATGGCCGTCGCCCTGCGCATTTGAGAAGCGCAACGGCGAAGCTGCTCCTGTTCGAGCCCTGGTGGGAAAATTGAAACTTTTAAGAATTTAGGGCATACTTTAAGATGTCTTCTTTCCGAAAATGCCCGAGCCATCTCAAAAATCGCACATTTAGTCGGAGAAATAGTGAACTACAATTAGCAAGGCAGAGATTCCGGCCAGCTCCGTTGCGAGTCCATTACCCCTAGTCTCATGTTTGCATTGTGTCACTTATTTTTAAACGTAAATCGGCCATGAATCGGTACATAATTGCCGGTCGCGGACGTCGCGCAGTATTGCCACTCTCCTGTTACAGTATAACAAACACAATAAATTAACATCGGGGGAATAACTTCAGGCGGAACTGCTAATGTTACTCCAGTAACCGCAAGATGCTTCCAGGTTCTGAAGACCGACGCCACTCCGGCTGCGGCTCGCTACGGTCACCACGAGTCACGGAACTTCCGGGAGCTGAGCTGTCAAGAACTAGACGACATTTTGCTTGGCCAGTATCTGGACAGGGTGAGTGGTGTGGCACTTCGGGGCGGCTGTACTCGAGAGGCGTAGAAAAACTTCTCATCTGTGTGTGTGTGTGTGAATGTGTGTGTCTGTCCGGGACTTAAAAAATACGATTAAATACGTAAATAATAATTATAAAAGGTTCATTCCATATAAGATTAACACGGATCTGGGTGACCTTTGAAGATTTCGACCAAATTTGGCACGAAGGTAGCCGTAATGGTCAGGAACATGCCCACAAATTTTTAGGTCGATATCTCAAGTGGTTTCGTCAGGGTCGGCATTTAAATTTTTTATTCCTAAAAATCTTGTCATTTCTTCAAGATGGCTCAATTTTTTGCCGTATTTTCATGCGGTAAAGCTAGTCTGACGTAAAATGCGACGAGTAATCCGAATCTGCTCTCAGATTTGGTCTAGCGTGATTACCAGTAGAGTAAATTGCGAAAAACATGAAGAAGAAGCCATATTTCACGAGCCTGCCTACCCTAGCAGAAAATCCAAATCTGCAGTTCCAAACAGGCTATGGTCAATCCTTAACTGTATTCAAAATTAGTAGGTGTGGCCCTCCCTTAGGAGCTGTAGGCCGCAATAAACAACTCTGCACTCAAATTTTGGCTAAGAGGCATTTTTTTTTAGAAGTCCGATCGTGGAACACGACCAATGCCGATTTCCTCCATTTTTTGGTCAAAGGTAGTCCTTGTGGGTCTAAGAAAGGCCACAAATTTTTTGGGCCGAAATATGCACCGTTCAGATTCTATGGGCAATTTTCGTTTTCTCTGACAACTTTTCCCATAATATGGCCAAAATTGAAAAATCACCTTTCTGAGGCCTCTATGCACTCGATTAAGCTCAAAATGTGGTATCTTATTTAAAATCACGCGAGGAACACGAATCCGGTGCCCGTTTGTTGATAGGACAACCCAAACAGATGTTATGACTGTTTTTCAGGTTTTGTAGTGGTTTTTACTTTTCTTGGGGTTTTGGTGTTCGGCATCGATTTTCGCCAATCCGATGAGTGAATTTTATAGATAAAGGACCAATCTATCATACTACGAGATAAAAAGTTTGTGTACGCCGCGTAAAAAGCAGTGGCGCTGCAAAAATTGAAAAACCGTCATTTCTGGGTAGTTTTAGATCAGATAAGCCACCTTTCGCGTGACCGTCTCCGCCCCATATTCAGTCTAAATATTGTCCCAAGTGATGTCAAAGTTGGTGTGAAATTTCACCGCTGGAGCTCAAGTAGTTTGGAAATGGCAGCTTTCCAAAGTTTTGCAATCACGTAAGGCATTTACTTTAAGTAGAATTGCGGTAAATGTGAAGACTTGTCACAGATCGGGTAATAATGAGACAGATGAGTGCGTCAAAGTTCTCTAAGCGTAATTTTGGACAAGGAATCCGATTTTGCCGGTACGAAGACCCTAGGTGTACTCTATAACTACGTTTTCGTGCAAACCACATAAAAATGGCCTTTTTTCCAACTTCAGAGTTCGCCTAGGGTCTTCGTACCGCAAATCGGATTCCTTGTCCAAAATTACGCTTAGAGAACTTTGACGCACTCATCTTTCTAATTTATTACCCGATCTGTGACAAGTCTTCACATTTACCGCAATTCTACTTAAAGTAAATGCCTTACGTGATTGCAAAACTTTGGAAAGCTGCCATTTCCAAACTACTTGAGCTACAGCGGTGAAATTTCACACCAACTTTGACATCACTTGGGACAAGACTGAATATGGGGCGGAGACGGTCACGCGAAAGGTGGCTTATCTGATCTAAAACTACCCAGAAATGACGGTTTTTCAATTTTTGCAGCGCCACTGCTTTTCACGCGGCGTACACAAAATTTTTATCTCGTAGTAAGATAGATTGGTCCTTTATCTATAAAATCCACTCATCGGATTGGCGAAAATCGATGCCGAACACCAAAACCCCAAGAAAAGTAAAAACCTCTACAAAACCTGAAAAACAGTCATAACATCTGTTTGGGTTGTCCTATCAACAAACGGGCACCGGATTCGTGTTCCTCGCGTGATTTTAAATAAGATACCACATTTTGAGCTTAATCGAGTGCATAGAGGCCTCAGAAAGGTGATTTTTCAATTTTGGCCATATTATGGGAAAAGTTGTCAGAGAAAACGAAAATTGCCCATAGAATCTGAACGGTGCATGTTTCGGCCCAAAAAATTTTTGGCCTTTCTTAGACCCACAGGGACTACCTTTGACCAAAAAATGGAGGAAACCCCGTAAACAAAACTACTATCAAAAGTAGTACTGTCGTACTACCATTTCGGAGCTCTGTACATCCCAAAATGTAGTGCGGAAGGAGTACCTTATGAAACAAAAAAGGCATCCGAAAGAAGTACTGCCGTGCTACATTTCAGGACGTCTCTTTCGGGAGCACTTCGGGACGTCGGAAACGGTAGGTCTGTGAGAGGTCTTTCGGAGGTCCCCCACCACCCGTCGCAGCGCCCTGCGGCCATGTAGTTCCGAAGGTGACCGCTAGAGCGCGCACCTGTGTCGTAGTTCGATGGCCTGCCGCTAGGGTGCGCCACTGTTCCGGATATGAATGTGAATGCGTATAGGAATGTGAATATGACACAGATAAACTGTTTAGGAAAAATGTATTTATTCACTGACCTTTTTAAATTAAAAATCAAACGATAGGACTTGTCACGAACAACAGAAAATATGGAGACAAAAATGGTGGACAGGACTCAAAAACAAAATATTTAAAAGAGGAATCTCAGTTGGACTGCAAAGAAAATACAGCAACCATAACTGTAACACCCCTTATAAAAAATAAGCCAAAATGACTGAGGTATTTTGCGATAGTGAAGAAGAGCAAGAAGAAGATGCGGCGGTGGGGGTAGAACATCACAAACCTCATTTGTTTGGCGGCCATGATGCCCCCACCCACCCCCGCCTCGCCCGCAAGCAGACGAACTGCCTAAACAAATGAGGGTTTGTTATGTTCTACCCCCACCGCCGCATCTTCTTCCTTCTCTTCTTCACTATCGCAAAATACCTCATTAGCACTGATTCCAAGGTGTCATGCTTACTTTGCTCTGTCGCAGGAAATTCACTTAATTTGACTCTGAAGCACAGGAGTCAGTTCTTGTTCCACATGTAATTGCATAGTGGTGCAGGTTATCGTTCCAGAATCTTGGGCAACTCCAGTGGGTCAAGGTTTCCGCAAAGAGCCTATTTCTCAAGCATAAAATCAGATGACGAACAAAATAAACACTTTGACAAGAAGAGTATCAAAGTAACAGAATATTGTAGGTTAACTTACACCGGCACTTTCTGATTTGGATTGAAACACGAAATAAGCCTGCACCAGGCTTTGAAGTATTCTTCTTATTGGTGCACCTGAGAACTGAACATCTTCGTGCGTGGTTTATTTTCTTTGGAGAAATGAATTTACTATAGTTAACAGAAAAATAAATACAAGTAAGGATCCGACGCCACAAGCACAGTGCGCGCCAAAGTGCGCCGACTGTCATCTGCACAACAGGGTGAGCATCGCGTGGGCCCGAGGCGCGCTCTAGCGGACACACTCGGAACTACATGGCCGCAGGACGCTGCGACGGGTGTGGTGGGGGACCTCCCAAAGACCTCATAGTGGGGACGTTAAGGGACAAAAAACAGGCCAACCTTGCACTTTGTGATGAAAACGAAATAATAGTCCTCCTTTATGTTTTCGGGGGTGCTCTATCGATCTGGATATGGTGCCACGCCGAAATCGGGCTCCTTCATCCTGTTCGAGGCCAAGAAGTGCTAAATCATCTACAAACGACGGCTAAATGACGTCTGATCAACTTGGTAGTGGGCTCATTCGATTCGTCTCTTTAAGACGGTCATTTTGACACCAATCTCGATAGTATGCGGTGCATAGGCGCGCATCCTGGCCGCCTAGAAGGTCCTCGAAGTGCCCCATCCTCTACAAAAGCATGCTTTACCGAGCAGATATCACTCCGGTTCGAGTGCCAATCGATTCCTATGCTTGAATCGAGTTTCTTGGACCCACCTGGTGACTGCAAGGCGTGCGCGCGCTCGCATCCTGGCCTCCTAGAAGGTCCTCGAAGTGCCCCATCCTCTACAAAGCATGCTTTACCGAGCAATATCACCCGGTTCGAGTGCCAATCGATTCCTATGCGTGAATCGAGTTTGGTGGACCCACCTGGCGACTGCAGGGCGCGCGCGCGCTCGCATCCTGGCCGCCTAGAAGGTCCTCGAAGTGCCCCATCCTCTACAAAAGCATGCCTTACCGAGCAGATATCATCCCGGTTTGGGTGCCAAGCGGTTGTTTTGCGCGCATTTAATTTATTGAAGGAAGTGACTACTGCGAGGGGCGCGCTCGCACGCATCCTGGCTGCCTCAAAGGTGTTCGAAGTGCCCCATCCTCACAAATGCATGCTTTACCGGTCTGATTTCGCCGTGGTTTAATTTTCTAGCAGCAGAGCACTTCAAACGCGTGTTAGCAAACTTCCGGGCCTTGGTTAAACAAAATTTGGACGGTTTCGTATAAAATGTATTTCTATCCACACATTTGAATGACCTTCCACCGTCTCTATTGATACGAGAAATGCACAAACTAGATTAACTGTCATTCTGTGTTGCTTCCTCGTATGTACTCTGCAAACTCAATTGTGTGCCAGGAACGCACTTCTTGGAGCATGCCTGCAGGCACACTTTTGCCGTAGCTAATGCATGCACAAATGCAAGTGTGTGCCTGAGGCATGCAGCAAAGAAGTGTGTACCTGCCAGGCAATACACCAAGAAGTGTATGCCTGCCGGGCACCAAGCAGTTGTGCCTGCAAGACATGCAGAAAAGAAGTGTGTGCCTGCCATGAATGCACCAAGAGGTGTGTGACTGCCAGGCATGCAGGAAAGAAGTGTGTGCCTACAGGCACGCACCAAGTGCATGCCGCACACAATTGAGTTTGCAGAGCATATACGAGGAAGCAACATAGAGTGTCTGTTAAACTAGTTTGTGCATTTTTATATCATTAAGGACGGTGGAAGGTCATTCAAATGTGTGGATAGAAATACATATAAAAGGGAACCGTCCAAATTTTGTTTTCACAGGGTTGCCACGCACCTGGAAAACAGGGAAAACCTGTAATTGTCAGGGAAAATGAAGCTATGTCAGAAAGAACCGGAAAACCTGAAATGTCAGGGACATTCGTGGAAAACAGGTCAAAATACCTACTTTCTGGCCAAAAGTCATAACGTGCGCCGGATGGGATATCCTTTCCACGCGCGAAAACTCCCTTCAAAAATTAGCCAAAATGTCAGGGAAAATGGCAAAAGATGTCTCTGAAAAACCTGGAAATGTCAGGTAAATCCGAAATTCCGGAAGCGCGGCAACCCTGTTTCACTAAGCCTCTATTGTGACATTACCAAGGCCCGGAAGTTTGTTAACACGCGTTTGAAGTGCTCATGCTGCTAGAAAATTAAATCACGGCGAAATCAGATCGGTAAAGCATGCATTTGTAGAGGATGGGGCACTTCGAACACCATTGGGGCAGCCAGGATGCGTGCGAGCGCGCCCCTCGCAGTAGTCATTTGCTTCAATAAATTAAATGCGCGCATAACAACCGCTTAGCACCCAAACCGGGGTGATATCTGCTCGGTAAGGCATGCTTTTGTAGAGGATGGGGCACTTCGAGGACCTTCTAGGCGGCCAGGATGCGAGCGCGCGCGCGCCTTGCAGTCGCCAGGTGGGTCCACCAAACTCGATTCACGCATAGGAATCGATTGGCACTCGAACCGGGGTGATATCTGCTCGGTAAAGCATGCTTTCGTAGAGGATGGGGCACTTCGAGGACCTTCTAGGAGGCCAGGATGCGAGCGCGCGCACCCTTCTACCGGGGTGGGTCCAAAAACCGTTTAAGAGGAAAATCGAATTGGCCCAACCAAGTTATCGCCGGTCTTTTCCCTTTTGTAGAGGTTTTGCACTTCGGCCTTTCCAGGAGGAAGGAGCGACCGGGGCCCCCATACCAATCAAAGAGGTGTAAAAATTTTACCGTTTAAACAATGAATTGGAGCCCACCCCCCCCAATATCGACGTCATTTGCCCCCCGGGGGAGGGGGAAAAACACCTTCTTGGCCCGAACCAAGGGTGGGAGCCCGCCGGCGGGCCCACCAATCCGGCGGGCCCCCCAAAACCAAAAGTGGTTTTATTTTTTTAAAATACAAATGAAAAATTGGCCCCTTCCCGGCCCCCCTATCACATAGACCTACCGTTTCGGACGTCCCGAAGTGCTCCAAGAACCGACTACTTTGGGACGAGCGACCAGGGCGCGCTCTGGCGGCGAACTCTGGCACCACACACTAGGTCCCCGCGCGACGTACGAGAGAGCTTCATTTGTAGTACGTTTAGGGAGGTCCCGAAGAGCTCCCAAAACCGACTTCTTCGGGACGTCCGAAAGACGTCGGATTCCAGACATGTACTAGTTTTGTTTACGGGGAATCGGCATCGGTCGTGTTCCACGATCGGACTTCTTAAAAAAAATGCCTCTAAGCAACATACGCATTTTTGAGCTTAAGAGCTCAGGGTTTCGAGCTACACGAAGGGGAACTTCGAGACAAATCCAACGGCACCAACATGAGCCCGATCTGGTAAGTGGATGCCAAACTGCGCCCAAATGCCGCTAAAACTCAAAATTTGCACTTGAAGTTTTTCCCTTTTTCCAATTGAGAAAATAAGTAAACGGCAGCATTTTAACTTTTCAAATGTGTACTCATTTACTCGAAATTTCATAAGCTTTCAATTGGAATATAGACTCAAAAAAATTTCAATACAAAATTCTGTAACATGGTTACGCAGTAATTTCCACTACAAATGTTACAGAATTTTGTATCAGCACTGATACAAAATTTTGTATCACGCGTTACGGTAAACTGTTTCACGGTTACAGAATTCTGCAATGCAAAAACCATAAAAATTTGTCGTTTTATAAACAAAATTTGAACCTCAACGATCGTTCGTTCCTTCACATTCGCTCCGTCGCTCCTGTACTCCCGAACACCCGGGGAAACCGAACTGCGTTCTCCGGCACCGAACCCCGGTCCCCCGGATTGCCAGCTCGGAATGCTACCGCTTGCGCCACAGCGCCGGATGGGGAGGGACGCCTCAGACTGTCGATGACACCGAGCGGGCACGCTGCATGCCCAGGTAGTGGTGGGAAACGAGCCCTGCGGCGCGACAGTTACAGTTCCTGGCCCCAAGCTTCTAAAGTACCATGCCCCACGTCAGGACTTTTCGCCCGATCAACTGTGATGTTAAAATTAAGCTCGTAATTTGACTTTAAATTTGCGTTATTAATTTTTGCATCAGACGATATGTAAACTTGTAACGATATGTTACGGTTTTCTGTATCAGTTACAGTTATTTGCATAAAGATCGCATTTATGGAACTATATCACTGATTGTGAATATTGAAACGAAAAGTACAGAATTTTGTATCAGTTTTAAAATTTTGAAGCACTGATTCGTTAATTCGTAACATTCTTGACATGATACAGAATTTAGGATCAAGGATACAAATTTTTGTATCCGACTGACGTGTTACAGAATTTTGTATCAAGATCGTTACAAAATCCTTTATTATTTTTTAGAAAAAGTTGGGCTTCGGCCTCGATACACAAGAATTCTCAATTTAACTGAAGCTGTGCGCGCGAATCGGCTGTACGCCCCGTGAAGGTAGGCAGCCAATCCGGCGCGCAGTCTTTCCGTCGCTCTTGGAATGTCTAGCTGTACCCGTCCTATCCCTCGCCCCACCCCGCCCCTTTCCCGCAACCTGCCCCTGATGGAATTGGCCAAAATAGGAGTCCATCAACTCAGGATGACCCCCTGAGTCGCCCTGCAAATTTTTTCTAGCAACTCCAAACCGTTTAGATTTTATAGCGATTTGAAACTTTTGTCAACTTTGAATGTTGCAATCCTTGGCTTAATACGCCATATACGCCATCACCATCTTCCTTTTTGACCACTCCAAAAAAAGTTACGGAAGTTTGTTTCATTTTTTATGTAGGATTTTGTATCTCCTACATGGTTTACAAAGATTCTGTTTAAGTGATGTGCAGATGTGCTGATTTCAGAAAAATGTATCGTTAGGAGCTCGTTGCAGAAATTTGATACGTGAAGATTACATAATTATGTTTGTAACACAAGGTAGGTGTACGCCAGACCGTGTGTTGTCGTAACAGGCTTCGCGATGCTGCACCAGTTTCGACAATCCATGCCTGGCGTATACACCCACCTCCTACCTTGGCCTGCGGCGCTAGACTGCCTTCGGCAGGCTGCTTTCCTAGACTGACCGTAGAAATGGGCGTGATCTCCATAATGTATAGAATTTAGTGATCAAAATCTTAACTTTAGGTAGACGGTCAGAATGGGTTCTATTTTCGTCATCAACAACCTCCAAAACATAGGAAACGATATTAAACTTGACAAAAAGTTGAAAGTACCAAAAAAGTTGTCTTTTTTCTGCCGTTTTTTAAGTGTTTTTTCGGTAGCATGACCGAATGGATTGAGATAGAAAGCTGAATTTTGGTGTGTGGTGAGCCACATACCTAAGGATCCTGCAAAATCTCAGCCAGATCGGCCGAGCCGTTCAGGAGGAGTAGTGCGCACACACACGCGCACACACGCTCTCAGACAGACAAAACTTTTCAACCCCACTGGAGTAACGGGCTTCGCTATCGCTCAGCCAATTACTGATACAGTAAATTGCAACAAGTTACTAAATTTTGTATCAGAGATTCATCAATTCCATGGAATTGCTTCGCATTACGAAGGATTTTGCTTCATAGTGCGAAGCATTTCTTCGTAGATTTTACAAGACCTTAATTTTCTTCGTATGACGAAGCGATTCTTACCACTCTCATTGCAGGAACGTGACATCACGTTGAAGCGAATGTGACAAAATACAACGTCTCTTTTAGCATTGTGCGTCATTTGTTTAAACGTAAATTAGCCATGAATTGGTACATTGCCCGTTGCGGATGTCGCGTAGTTGCCACTTTCCTGTTATAACAACACTGAGAATCCAAACGCTGTGAGTATAGGGTCAATTGGTGCAATGCAAAAGCATTGCACATGAAGTGCAATGCCTCCCCATCCCCCCATGCATTAGCATAGGGACTTTTCGGGACGCATTTCACGTATGGTGCGATATCCCAGCAGCATTGCACGTTTGGTGTGATATCCCACCTGCATTGCACCATACGTGCTATACTCATAGCGTTTGGCATCTCAGTGAATCATACAATAAAACATCGAGGAAAACTTCCGGAGGAACTGCTAATATTTGTCCAGTAACCGAAAGATGCTTACAGGTTCCAAAGACGGACGCCACTTCGACTGTAGCTCATTACGCTTCCCATGAGTGTCGGAACTTCCAGGCGCTAAGCACACGTCAGGGACACTGTCAAAAACTGGACGACATTTTCCTGAACCCCGATCTGGACAGGGTGAGTAGTGTGGTTCGGAGCGGCTGTGCTCGAGAGGTGTTGAAAAACTTCAGTGTGTGTATCTAGTATGACGTGCTTCGTCGGCATAAGTGTCCGTCCCTCGTCCCTCGTAGGGGGTTTTGCTCAATGTACACTGCAAGTGCGGGACAGGCATGCACCAACGTGGGATTAACTGTCCCACGCTTGTATCATGGTTCGTCCCACGTTATCTAGGACATGCTTCTTGCCTCCCCCACACTTGAATTTGCAATGCAACATGGATTGTGCGTCGCAGGTGAGAAAGGTGAACAACTTGGGCTGCGAGAAGCGACCCAACTGGTGCAAGGTGCTGCTGCAGCGTGTGGCCCCGCGCGTCGAGTGGCTGTCTGTGGATTGCGCCCTCCGTGAGCACCTGGACGTGATCCACGACATGCCTGCACTGCGCTTCTTGTCCGTCCACATGGCTGAGTGTGGCACGGTGGTCCCGGACCTGCCGCTGCAGCTGGAGGACCTGGAGGTGCGGAACGTCCCGGAGCAACACTTGCAGTCGGTGCAGCGCATGCCCAACCTGCGCAAGCTCACCTTGGACTGGAGCGGTGGTGGTGCACTGGACGTGGCCTTCCCCCCTCTGCCCCCGCACCACCGCGGCCTGCAGTGGCTCCAGGTGTGTCTCCGCCCCGCCTCCACCGTGCTGTCGCTGGCCAAGGCCCACGCCGCCACCCTGCAGGACCTGAGGATTCTCTGCGCGTCGGAGGGAGACACGCCGTGGCACTTCCAGGACCTGGCCGAGGGGCTGGGGCGGTGCGGGCTGGTGGCGCTGCGGCGCGTGGTGCTGCTGCGAGGGTATGCTCCAGGCTTCCCCGACAACAAGCTCCCCCACGGCAAGGAGTCGTGCCGACGGCAGAAGCACGCCGTCTGGGACAGCCTGCTGGCGGCGGACTCCAAGGCCGTCAGGGTGGTGACGGTGCTGTGCGGGGAGTGCGACAAATGCCCTGCCTTCCCTTCCCTCGGGGACTTCACCTGGCAAGATTAGTCACGCGCACTGACTTTTCCGAATTGTTACGAATTTTTCCAGAATGCACCTAATACGGTGTTTGTTTTGTTTTTGTTCTTTGTTAACTCTCACAACACAATGGTTCCCCAACTGTTCCTTATTGTCGTCTAAAATTTTGAGAACAAATCTGTACTTAGCACACACCTATAAACGCTCTCCTGTTCGAAGTACACAGTAAAGCAAGCATGCGTAGCATAGGCTGCGCAGGCGCACTCAAGCGGGCTTTGTGAGTGCTCTTGGAAGTGTGTAGCAAGCATGCATGTAATAGTTTGATATTCGTTAGTTAAGTAAAAGGGAACATGTGCTGATCGTTTACCCTGCTCAATGAGACGTTTCATAGCACTTGAGGCACTGCACTCACACTGTCATCCATAACATTGGAGGGTAAATTGTATTTGAGGCAAAAAATGACAAATGTTTTAAGTTATTGAATTCATTATAATTGATATCTAGATATAACAGTTTCGAGTAAGAAAATAACTTCAAGCCTGTTAAATTGTGTACAAAAGAATATTGTCAGAAAAAGGTTCCCATTAAAGTTTGATCAAAACACAAGTTTCCTGAAGTCTTTTCACGAACTACCTCACACCTTCACTTGCATGCTCTGGGAGACAATGGCGCCCTCTCGGTGGATCTCCACCCAGTCGCAGGGCTCCGCGTCAGGGTGCGAGAAGAACGCTGCGGTGCAGGTGTCCTCCCAAAACTCGTCGGGGCAGCAGTCTTTGGCGCACGCAGCGCAGGACTCGTAGTCCGAATCGTCCTCGTCGCCCACGGAGTCACAGCCGCAAGATTCCACGACCAGGTGCAGCCGCGGATTGCGTCGGAACACGCCGGTCACCGCTTCGGTGTGGAACCACTCGTGAGTGCAGCCGTGCGGCGAGTACACCTGAAAATTCACAAATCGGACAGACGCGTTAGTGCGGTTTAAGGAGGCGCACAGTAGGGCCAGAAGACCGGTGGAGGCGGCCAAAACTCCAGACGCGTTTTGCGCTGCAGAGTCGCTGGGACTCGATCCGAACGTGTGACCCCACCAATGGATTCCTCGTTCGGAGAGCAATCCATTGGTGGGGTCACACGGTCGATTCGAGTCCCATTTAGCGACTCTGGAGCTTAAAACGCGTGTGGAGTTTTGGCCGCCTCCACCGGTCTTCTGGCCCCTTGTGGGGCGCAGGACCAGACAAAAATCGAGTTCTTCCATGTCTCGATTAAGTTGCACGTTGTTTATTCAGTGTGGACGAAGTAATACGCATACCGTGTTTCACACACTCTAGAAACTAAAGAGAGTGCATGGCATGCTCCCCCAGGGAGATAACCACAACGCACGCTCCACCCTGGAGTGCGCAGAAGCATGCTTGGCAAGCACGCTCTACGGTGTAGCAAGCTTCAAAGCACGCTGCAGGATGAGGCGTGCTGCGTCGCCATTACAAGCCTCATATTACCGAAGAGGCACGCTTTCATCTTGTAGCGTGCTTTGAAGCATGCTGCACCGTGGAGCATGCTTGCCAACCACGCTCCTAGGTAGAGCGTGCTTAAACGCAGAAGTGCAGCCGTGCTTGCAGGCACACTTCTTGGCGTTTAAAGCTCATTTGGTTGACTACTTGTCCGAGGCCTGAGGATTTTGCATCGCACGGCATCTCTTAGTTTCTACACGCAATATTTGAATACGCACTTGTCGATTACCAACATAGACTCGCCATTTCACTCGTTTTGCTCAAAGCTTTGTCGATTTTAGTACAAAATCGCAGCTGCAAAGCTGCGAAACTGTGTATACAGCGACAAAATATAGACAAAATAGCATTGGAGTACAGCTAGAGAACTTTTACTGACTTTTTCTCATAAGCAGACGTATTTCTGTAAGCAACCATAGTACCTAGTATTTCGTTCTTGAATACTTAACAAAAATTTCTTTGTTATGAACTTAGAAAACAATATTAGTTCAGTCATTACCAAATGATAAGTGATACTGAGAAAAAATACCAAGTGGTTGCTTACAGAAATGCGCATGCGCACCCTCAGATTCTCATGATGAAAGGGCCATCCTAACATATGTTGAAATGAGAACATACGTACTACAATAAAATTCATGCGTAATACGATGAATTTCATGCGTAATACGATGAAAAATTAAGCATATTAAGTATGTGCGAATTTATGCGTACCTTACGATGAAAAACCATCGTAATACGTATAAAAACGATCATAAGATGTTGAGTGTGCGCTGCTAATGGGAAATAGTCAGTAAAAGACTGAGAGTGTGCGCACAGTTTGATGCTAAGCTCACATGCACAAGAGAACCACACAGTAGTTTGCAGTGGTGCGGCTCACCTGCAGCTTGACGAGCTTGGGCAGCACCTGGGGGTCGATGGCGTCCAGGAAGGCGTCGGACGGCGCGCCGCCCAGGTTGAGGTGCCGCAGGTCGGGCAGGCGGTGCAGCACGGCGGCCAGCGGGCGGAGCTGCAGGGGCGGCAGGTAGCCGATCCGGACCCGCAGGTCGGCGGGCGAGAAGTCCAGGGCGAGGCAGCGCAGCGTGGAGGGCCGCAGCGAGGCGCGCGTGCCGCCCAGGGCCAGCACCAGGTCCACCACGTCGGCCTGGTCCTGCTGCTTGGCGAACTCCAGCTTGAGGCGCGTCAGCTGCCACGTGGCGACTCGCAAGTACGCCTCGACTCCGGCCAGACGGCGGGAACCCTGCGGCATCATGGTGTAAGCAAAGCCAGCGGCGTATTAGGCACCGGGTCAGAGGGTCAGCTGACCCCCCAGTTTTTGGAGCTGCCCCGAGCTAATCCCCTGCGAAGTAGGCAACATGCAGTACATTGACCCCCCATTTTTTTTGACGTTCCTACGCACCTGAGCAAAGCCCTGCATTACAAACTAAAGAGTGTAAGGGAGAGTGGGGTAATTCCGGACATTTTGATTTTCCCTGGGTTTGAGGAAAGATAACTCAAAAGCCCGCCTAACAGAGGAAGATAATCAGTTAAAAATGATAACTTCAAATCGCCAAGGTAGGAGGTCAAACCGTTTGGCTGTGGTCGCTTCACGAAATTTTAGTACCATTAAAAATAGGCAAAAGCTGCATCTTTCCCTCGTACTTCCATGTACCGTCAAGTTCAGTCCCATGACTAAAATTTCATCATATTATATGGTCATTGGACTTTACTTTGGCGTTTCGGGAGTGCTCGTATGGCTCGCTGTTTTCTTACAGTTGAACACGCATCGAGGGGGCCGCCACGACCAAGGGTCCACCACTCATCAGGAATCATTCACTATCACTGCTTTCATAAAGTAACATGACATGGACAGTTGCAAGTAGGGGCGTTCCATGGTAGATTTACACGACCTTAATCGACCATCTCCGATTTTGCTCATAATTACATCAAATGTTGCCCTCATAGGGAGGAACATCCGTGCGAAATCTCACAGCCGTAGCCCCAGTAGTTTCCGAGCCAACCACACGGTAAAAACGGTTCCTGGTTTTCCCAGGAACTCCCTGGAAATTGTCTATGCCTTCACCATTGGCTTCCTGGGAAAACCAGGTTCCGTTTTTACCGTGCAGAGGTACTAAAGAACACTCGAAAGAACACGGGATTACAGGAATTTTACTGGGGGATTCCGCGTAAAATTCTCTAAAATTGGTTGTAAAAAACTTCCAAAAGAAGCGCCGAATTTCATGAAGGATCATGTGATTACGTTATGGAATTACTAGAGATTACCAGCCAAGTACGAAATAAACGAACATTACTAAAAGCTTTCTTTTGTAAGCTATGCGCGATTTAACACATACATTGGGGACAACATTTTCATACTGTGAACCTTCGTAACTTACGATTTAATTTATCATAACTCAATCCTGCATAAATCCGTCAATACACACCGATGAATAGTCACTTTGTGTCTAAGTAACGCGCAAATTGGGGTGATGGGCGACAATTATATAGCTTCATACACACACCTTCAAATATATACTTGGCACGCAAGATGAGACAATTTTGGTCTGACGTGAGAGACGCGCTTGAAGATGCATACTGAGAACTCGCGTCAGATTGGACGCGCTTCAGGTGAGCGCGAGAGAGAAGCAACTTGCCTGATCACCGTCCTGGAAGTCCACGAAGAGGTGCAATGATGTCAGACTCGGGCAGCCCCGCAGAGTCATCATGTTGTCCAGCATGTGGCATCCCAGCTTGCGTAACCTGCATGAGCCAACGATAGACGAAAGAAAATTAAAATGGGGACGATTAAAAGATGACGTTAAATGTCAATTATTGCCGGCACTCCGTAGTGCATTAATATTGGGTAAAAAGTCGATTTGGGGCCGCGGGAGTGGCAGCTTCCCACATTCGTTGTACAAAATTTGACCACTTTCCACATTCAGGTGGCAAAATCGCCTGTAAGTAGGCAACATGCGCGGCAAAACGCCAGAAATCTTGCACATTCTTGCACGTTCACACAATACAGTGGCCGCGGGCCGCAAATCAATATGGGAGACCCAGTAGCCAGTAGTACCAGGAACATTTCAGCTTAATCTTCGCTGAGGGGGTTCTACGACGGTTCACCTAAACTTTTTCGCCCAAAACCTGGATGCCTAAGTATTTTTTGCCGAAAATTAAAATTTGTCATTTGACCTAAAGACGTTTCACCGCACAAAAAGTGCTTTGCCCAGTGTTTCATTGTAGAGACGCCAGCCGCCCATTGGTGAAAAAAAAGCATTAAAATTATGCCTTTTAAGGGCGTAGAAGATTTATGGCCCTGGAGCGGCGTGAATCGTTAATGCCTTTTGGAAGGGCATTAAAATTTTGCTTTAAACTGCTATTCGATTCACGCCTTTCCCAAGGGCAGAAAACGATTTACGCTCTTTAAGGGCGTTATTTTTATGCCCTTTTTTAGTGCCACGGTAGAAAGATACGGAACGTCTGGTCAATTTGCCCGCGCCGTCCGTACCTTGAAGCAACAATTTGACTGTTCACCGTACCTTAAAATGAGGCCATATGTAGACTCCGGAGCCCATTACGGAAGGTTGTCCTTTACCGTAGCATTCCAGTCGAACCCGATTGCAACGTAATTAAAAAAATTATTGGACGATTTCAGATTTCGATCATTTTTAATATTGCCTCCTTCCGTCAATAAAATTTAAAGCCCTGTTGGGGTCGCGGGAGTGGCGCGTCCCAACGTTGAAACAGTTGCAGTTTCCAACAGGTTCTGGAAAATTTCGCCCTTAAGTACAATTTTCGGGCAAACGCCCAAATTTGACTTCTGCAGTTAAAATTCAGTGGCTTGTTGGCCTTAAACATATCGGCAATCGGTTCCGGTAAACCGGTTTTAAGCTTGATTTCGCTGAGGGCCTTCGTACGACCTTTCTTTGTCTCCTCGAGTTTCAATATCTTCCGCAAACCTCCCTTTCAAATGCCGCCTGAACGCAACTAAGATGTAGCTAGACTACCACAACACTAAACCTCTTTCTTACCTCGGCGCAGAGGCCAACAGTGCAGTCAACGTCGCGTGATTGCTTTTCGTCTGAACAATTTCCAGGGTGGCCAAGTGCTCGGACACGAAAGGAAGCAGATGATCTTCCACTAATTCGTCAACGAATTCGAACTGCAGTTGCTTCAGAGACGCTGCTACCGGGCCACGGTCAAGGGCAGCTGCTTTGGGCAACTTAGAGCCTGTCGAACGTGACCCGCGCAACACAAGCTTCACCAGACCTGTAACACATTCGAAGAGACTTGACTTTGGTTAGGGAAAAATTGTGGGTCATCTCAACAGGGGGTTCTAGTGAGCATGTCATTCTCTTCCCACAACAGAAGATTTTTAAATGATAAAGCCAACAAAGGCAAAAAAGCGATCTTACACGCTCAATGTTTAGCATTTTATACGTGGTGATGCACGATTTTGAACCGGGGTACGGTTGTGCACTAAACTGTGCTTAAACTTGCATAAATTTATCCAGTTTCACACATAATATTATGCATATTCAGCGTATCGTGCAAGTTGCAAGTAAAATTTTTTACCTAAACATAGAGGGAGGACACTAGAGTAGCATGTACCTTCAAATGTGAAATTTTCACCTTTACCCAGTTTCACTTCACATTTCTAACATATTTACACAGTGGGGCGCATTTTGAAACGAGGAAGATTTCACTCAGATTTCCTCACCACAACGCCAATGCTCCCTTTGCCTCACCTTTTGCAGCGTGAACTTCCTGAAGCAGTGTGTGCACACACGCCGAGTTTTGAGCGTCAGTCGTCAGTTCCAGGGAAAGTTCCAAATGGCGAAGTCGGCCCAGCGCAGCTTGCCTGCAAGCAACGATACGCCACGTTTCTCCCATGTTTCTCCCAAACGGTTCACACTTTGTTTTCTTCAACAATGTTTGCACGTTGTCTCACACAATTTCGCGCATAAGTGCTTTTCGTACAAACTTGTAAGCTTTTTCGCAGGAACACTCATTCCAGGAATGTGACACATCACATTGCAACGAATGTGACAAAATGTTACGTTCGATTGAGCATAGTGTCACTTTCGTTTGAATGAATCCGCCAAAAATTAGCCCCGGAATTGCGTTGCCGTCCAAATTTAAGTAATAAGGTTTCCACAACCCAAATTTAGGCCTATTTTGAGCACAAGTCTGCAGGGATCCTTAAATAATCATAACACATAACGAAAACTGGCCATACACTGGTAAAACTAAAGCGTAACTCTATGCTTGAGTCAAGCATTAAGATACGCTTGAAGACATTACGCTTGAAATGAAGCATAGACTGGAAATTCACCCATGCATTTAGGCAGAGGGAAATTTGGCGGATGAACCTATTACGCTTGATTTCAAGCGTAAACGAATTACGCTTGAAAACAGAGGGTAATACTACGTTTTAGTTTCACCAGTGTATAACGTACCTTGCGATAACTTTAGTAAAAGGTCCAAAGCAGGGATTGTAATAAATCGTCAGAAAGGTTGTACATTAAATTCCAGAGGATAGAAAAATGACTTATCCCATAAGATACCATTTGGAGTTACGAGTTATAATTTGGATATTCAAGGTAACATTAAGGCCCCTTTCAAGGTAAATTAAGGATCCCTTCCAATTTGCTGCCTAACCTTAAGGTGCAGTATACGGGTGAGGAAATCTCCATCACCCCGCACCTAAAATTAGTGATGGAGAAAGCCACACCTAAAATTTCAGTTGTTATTGAGACTCTTACAAACTGCTAGAAAAAGGGTGAATAATACAACAAAAGTACAACAAATTATACAATAAAAGTACAACAGGGATTGTATAATGTACAACGAGAATTGAACAAACCACAACGAGCCCTGGACTGCCCAGCACTCGTCATGCCGGTCCCATTATATTTTGTACAACAATTGTTGTACTTCGAAAGTACAATAAAGTCCTAATAAAAAATTTACCAGAAATTTGTGTACTTTTGTTGGGTTTTTTATACTTGCAGTGCAATCACAGTTTTGCCCATGACAACCAGTGCAATCTCACCTGCGGACAACTAGGGCGCCCAAAACAAGCGACGCTAGGTTACCGAGTGACATACTCAGTTTGGCAGCAGCGCAGTTTGTTTCCATGGCCAACAGCGGACTGAAGGCCAGAGCCGATCCGCCCAGAGGCTGCCATGAGCTTCCGATGAGGAGGGAGCGAAGACAGGGAGCCAGGCGCAGAATGGTCCAGAAATACTTGTCGGAGCTGGCGCTGCTGAAACTGTGAAGGAAGGAAGGTGGGTTAGTACATAAGCCCTGAGATCCGACTTTAGGTACTTTCAACGTAAATTTCTGTGGTGGGGGGTTGAAAGCATGCAAGAGCTCTTCAACGCAATTTCTCTATGTAATTCGATAGGACGGGAGTACATGAGTTCTTGAACGCTCGATAGCACTGAAAAACCAAACGTGGTCTAGACCGCACCAACTGGTGTGGTCAAATGGAGTGTCATTTTGACCGCATCAGTTGGTGTGGTCTAGACCACGTTTGGTGCATTTGGTGTGGTCGTTCCATGGAAAGACCTCACGAAACGTGGTCTAGACCACACCAAACATGGCCAAACGTGGTATCACACCACACTGCAAGAAAAAGTGTGGATAGTACAACAAAAGTACAACAAAAACTGTACAATAAAAGTACAACAGGGATTGTAGAAAGTACAACGAAAATTGTACAAACCACAACGAGCCCTGGACTGCCCGGCACTCGTCATGCCGGTTCCATTGTACTTTGTACAACAATTGTTGTACTTGAGAAGTACACTAAATTCCTGATATAAATTTGCCAGAAATTTGTGTACATCTGTTGTGGTTATTTCCTGCAGTGCAACTGATGTGGTCAAAATGGCACCCATTTGACCAGACCAGTGGTGCGGTCTACACCACATTTGGTTTTTCAGGCACAGATTTGAACCTTTGCTATACCAGAGTTCACTTACTGGAATGTGGAGACAGACCGCCACAGTTGAGGGTGCAGCGCCAGGACTCTCCAGCGGCGACTAACGCATCGGCAGGCCAACAACTGAACGGGCCGAGAGGAAGCTGAGGATGTGCAGCATCTCGTCGTCCGACAACGCAGCTATCAAACACGGCTCCATCTGCACAATGAAGCGTCATGCATTACTGGATCCAAGAAGCGGAGGAGTGGGGAGCCCAGACGCAGAATGGTAGCTCCATTTTGGCCATTTTTCAGGACGGTCAACATTTCATACAGTGAATTTCGAGGGGTCGTCAACTCACACCGTTCGTGTACGAAGTATTATAGTAATATACGGTAAAATACATACCACATTACCGTTTTCAGGCCGATTTCTCATGCTACCGATGCTCTAAGTAGTCTATTTGGTATATTTATGGACTTTTAGGCGGTAATATAAGAGTAATATACAAGTAATGTACAGCCTGTGTACGAAGTAATATGCAAGTTGACGACCCCTCGGTGAATTTGGCGGTGGTGTACGAAGAAATTTAGGCAAACATAATACGAACTTTATTTGTTTACATTGCGTATCTTTTTGGGATTTCCTTTGTAAGGTTCAAAGAAAAAGCTTCATTTTACGAAGGGAAAATAGCTTCATATGTTTGTACAAAATTCATCGTATCACAATAAATGGTGTTCGTTTTGTTCGTAAGACTTTTCGAGTGGAGAAAGAGAAAACTGCTCGCAGGGTAAACCAAAACTGAACAAATTAATACTGTCCAATACTGTCGTTGACGAGAAGCTAAAAAACTTGTTAAGTTTTAAGAATACACTGAGAAGGAACGAGCCAAACGCCCTTCGAATGGACGATGCAGCTTTATTGCCCAATTTTGGTTGCCGAAAAATTTATGACCCGAAATTTGCAAACACGCGTTTCATTGCCCAAATTTTAGTGACGTCGTCGGCTACGTTGTGAAGTTTCCAGTGGCGGCGTCGTTCCGAGGCCACCATGAAGACCCCCCATGAATCCATTACCCAAATTGGCGATGAATGTTTGTCTCCCCTAATTTGAGTCACCACTGACTTCTCGCCCAATGAAAAAGGCAATGGTGATGACTCTTTCATTCTCAGTGAAACCTCAAAAGCGTCGGGTCAGTCCGTCGAGGGTTTCTTCGACGTCATTTTCCGTCAATATGGAAAACCAAACGAACTCAACTTATTTCTCCCACAAGAAGTGGATCGTTAATTGCCCAAGCGACAACGTAGCCACTTGACAGCGGTTCCTCGTAGTTTCAGAGATCTTGTTTCCCAAAGATCATGAACTGCACAGTGACGTCAATTAGGTGTCAATATGCCAAATTTTAGTCATAATTACGACATTAAAAGCACCATTTTGTCTTCCCTTGACTGCTTCGTTAGGGTTTCGTATTCTTAGGGTGATAGCGGCTTTTTCTTCGCTTGCTGCAGCAAGCGAAGAAAAAGAAGGACAAAACCGGAAATGGCGCTGGCAACTTGTACCGGATCGAGTGCATTGGTTTTAGAGCTTTCCGAAATGTCGCCACTTTTCACGAAGCAATTTAGCCAGTATCCATAACTTACTGGCAAAGAAGAGAAACACGAGGGGGGGAAGGACTCTCAAAATATGTGAACCGACTATCACGTCTATAACGGTCTAATACGCCTCAAAATTATCGGGAGTTAGATGAAAACAGACCAAAACAACCGTAAACTGATAAAATTTGGAGAATTTCGGCTATTACGCCTACGCCTACCATTACGCTTGCCATTACGGACAGAGTGAACCGACTATTACGCGAGTTCTTTCCCCCTCGGAGAAACATGTGTGTCTCCGTATCTCCCACAAACCGGGCCCCGACCGATTTCGCGTCAAGTGCCATTTAAAACGCTAAATAAAACCTTGAAATGTTTACAAATGTGAAATGTATGAGTAAAGCACGGTGTACTCATCCGCACTCATGTGTACACCAGAACGCGGAGTGATTCACCCCTCGGTATTTTAAGGAGGCTTGGACCGGAAGCAAAAAGAGCTCCTATCTCTGCCGGAAAAAGTAAACGGATTTCTTCGAATGCGCTACTGTGTCTAAGAAACACCTAAAATTTACTCGATCGTACAACATAGGGGCCCTTACACGGAAGTAGAGTATTCTAGTCGTCGCACAACTTGATTCTGCCAAATCGAAAAGGGCTTTCAAAAGTTTTTATTTTCAGAGTGCAACCCACTTCGCATGGGCCATCGACCCGACAGAACTTGTCGTTGTTCCTAGTTGATAATCTTCCAGCGATCGCACGCGACAACGTTGTCACACTGTTTCTGTGCTTTGCTCCGGACCGGGCGGGTCCATCCACGCTACGCCAGTGGCTCCTGCGGTGTCGCAATGCACGTCTCGAGACCTCGCACTCGGTTCAAACCGAAATTGCCACTGCCAGTAAGGATTGTCAGAGCGCTTGGGCAAGCACCTTTTACTTACCACGGTGGAACTTTGAATGAGTCGAAGTACTGGTTTTGGTGAGCAGTAACTTAATCGGGTGTTACGTTTGGCGGGCTCTGAAGTCTGGGGTAGGGTACTTCGGAGAAGCGCTGGGAAGGGTGTTGAGAAGAAATCAGGAAGAAGAAATGCGGGACATGTATGAGAATATAGTAGCTCTGCGGAAGCGGCAGAGCGGCGACGCAGGCGCTCATTCTCACGAAATTCGCGTACTTTCTTCTTCTTGTTTTCTTGACTTCCGTTCCAGGTTTTTTCCGAAGTACCCTATTCTATTCGCTGTTGCTCTTATCCTGTTTCAGGTACAGCGTGGTCTTGAACGCTTTCATGTACAGTTGGTCCTCGCTTGGGGAACTCGGAGACGCGGCTCAAGTTTTACTTTATTGGATCGAAACTGACTCACTCGCTTGGTTGATGCTTGTGTTTATAGTTCGCAAAGTATTGTTTCTGATCGCAGCTTCTTCAATTTGCTTACCATTCATCGGACTTCGGTTCAGAGATGTGCTTGCAACCCTACGGGTTGTGTCTATTAACGTTTCTGCCTGCATCTTGTCGAGAAATGCCGTCTTGTATTTTATCATAAACATTTTATGGGAATCTATAACCAGTTACCGTACTATGACTGGTCAATATTATTATGACATTGAGATAGCGATGAGAGGTTTGCAGGTAAGCACGACATTTAGACTAAAAACCCGCGGTACGGAAAGTAAGGCACGACTTTTTCATCATGTCGTTGTTTTAGAATTTCAAATAAATCGCAGAATTTCATTGTAATCTCAAATTGATTACAAAATGACGACCAAATTGTATGTAAAATGCGCAAAACGGCAGACGCCCGTGTAAAAACGAATTGTTCCGAAATCCTGCCGCCAGCCGTCCGAAAGAGCCCCCGCCACCTCGGGCTGTCCCCAGAAGCGTCCGAATGCCCTCGGGTGATTCCGTAGTTAGTCCGCGAAGGAACCGCTGTTCAGACGGGCCAGACCGATATGTGTCCGGGACTCGCCGGAAAGTCCGGGTCGGTCCGCCGGGAGTCCGGGGCAGCGGACTTACCCGGAATACGTCCGAGGAAAGTCTCCCCTCCGGACTGTTTTCGGAACTCCGTACCGTTTCCCCCTCGCTTTGGGACTTAGACAAATATTCCTCTAGCGGAGCTACAGTTGAGGTATGTCGAAGTGATTCCACAATACATTGAACATGTTCAATCTCAAACATTCGCCTTTCGTAAGGAAATTTAGAACAAAAAATTTATTGGAAATACAGCAACTTTTTGTCGTAACTGAGTATGTGCCGAAACATACCACAAAACGTGGTTCAAATTGCAAGAATGCATACAGTCAATTAATTTGAATGATTTCGTACAACCGGAGAAACACAAAACTTTAAATACAGGTATCCATAAGAAAACGTGTTGGACGTAAAATATTTTAAATTCGAGGTTCCCTTGCGAAATCCCCACTCTTCTATCTTGAAAATCGCGCCTCCCAGCGCCCAGAGGAAGGAGCGGAGCGGAGAGCGCAGCGCAGAGTCAGTGAAGAGGCTCACCGGAGCCCCCGGTCCTCATCTGTCGGGTTAGCTCAGTTGGCTCCGACGTCAGCACTGGTGTGCAAAGGAAGAGAGGAAGGTGGGAAGCGAGGGTTCGAATACGACTTGCCTCTGGCTTTCCACCGTCGGATTTTTTTCGGAACCGAGACTCGGACAGTCCGAAACCAGCCCGCACTTCGGTTCTCGGACACATCCGTAAAGTTGCCGATTTGGGAACATTCTGGAGCTTCGTCGGACTAGCCCGACGGACCTCTTTCGGGCTGGAACCCCGCTCGGACAGATCTCGGAGCAAATAATTTTTATAAGGGGGAGGAAACCTTCCTCACCCAAATTTGGGTGATAAAGAATTCCTCGCCCAAAATTTTAGTCATGATCATGACTCTTTCATTCGCAGTGTAAGCATGTGTTTCATCTAGGAGTAAGTCAACTTTAGTATTTACCCTGTAGTTACGCTGATGACCAGTGAAAATTTTCTCGTTAGGGCGTGGTACACTCAGCGGTGATGATGCTCTTTGTGTGCCTTACTCAGACGCTGTCCAGTCGCTTTGCGGTTGTGAACAGAACGTTGATCAGTATCAAAGGCCTCAAGGAGAGAGGAATCGATGTGGAAACACGCCTGAGGGAGGTATGTGCCGCAGTTATTGTGATTAGTTGTTGACTATTTTTCAGCCGGTTTCTCAATGGGGTTGAAATACTCCGTGGGTCAGTCCGGACTTCTTCTAGACCTGAGATGCAGGATCAGACTTGTCCTTGCTTCAACCTTGTCCAGATTCCAGCTTTGTATTTTGAATATGAAAACAACTTAAACAGTAGGAAAAATGGCGATGCCAATCGGGAACTGCAGCTCGTCGCGTACATTTTGAACATTCGCAAATGCTGTTTGTTCCCGCACTGCAAATCCAAGTGTGGGACTGGCATGCTCTAGATAACGTGGGACAAAGTGTCCCACGTTTGTAAGCGCGGGACGAGTTCGTGTCCTGCACTTCAAAGCGTTGGGCACATCCGTGTCCCACGTTTTCAAGTGCATGCCTGTCCCACACTTGGATTTGCAGTGCGATGTAATAAGATTTCCATTCCGGGGTTAATAGATCAACAGCACCCTTCAAACGTACGTGTCTACGTCAAACTTTTAATAAAATTTGGGTGGTAAGGGATGTGACTGAAACGGGAGGTCAGAACACATTAAATTATTTTGTAGTTATGGTGCATAAGCTATTCTGGAAACTTTGCATGAAAATGCAGTTTCGAGTGCAGTTTTGTCTATAGCCATTCCAATTTAGTGCGAATGGGTTACTTTCGTTCATCACCCGCTAAAAAAAAAGTGCGGCCGCGGCGCGTGCGCATCATAGAAGCATTGACACGTTAAAATGCGCAATGCGTCTATAACAGAGCCCAGGATCAATTCCTGGTAGTTTATATTTCGATTTAATTTTTTTACAAGAAGTTCCACATTTTCTGTAAATGTTTAAGGGTCCCGACGATGAGACTGGTATCAATTTTGTCCCGCTAGAGAAAATTTGACCATCCTCGAGTATAAAAGGCTGCTCTATCGCTCCAACTAAAAGCAGAATTTTCGAAAATGTTGTCATGCGGCAAAGTCGTAAGGGGAGGAAATTTGTTTTTAAAATATTTATAAGGCCTATGAAAAATATGATAAAACTCTTTTTTTTGTAACCACCAATATTTCTTACTGTGTTCGGTACACTCTAAATTTTTTACAGTGAAGATTCTCCATATTATGGTGGAAATGTACCACATTATGGTGGTGCAGCTGACTTTATAACATACCATTGAGAATTCACTGTAGCCAACCTTACAGATATTTTGACGATTTTCATTGGTATTATGGAGAAAATCTCCGCCACAATGCAACCACAATATGTTGGTGCAGCCTTTCACCGTAAGACATTTACAGTGTAGCTACCCGTAGCTTGAAACGACGGTGGGTAAAAGGACTCCGGTGAGAGCGTTCTTACTATGCTTTTTGTATAAAACAGGCTCAAGAGAAGCACCTTCGTACAAAGGCTTTGTTGGAGAAGGTGTGCAGCTCCTTCGGCGCTCAAGTATCATTCATCATGATATATAATATTCTCCAGTCGCTGGAGATACTCTACGAAATAGGCCCATTCGTGGCAAAGGCATTTTACAGAGAAGATGACACTGTCGATGTGGAAACAACTTTTTTATTTGTGGTTGTGCTAGTCCCTTTTCTCTTCAGTCCACTTTTGCTCCTGCCCGAAATCGATCAGGTTGTGGAAAACGTAAGTTTAATGATGACCCACACTGACCCGGCCCTGTTTCTGAACTCTACCTTGAAGTCTGTTCCGTACCGCAGCTACAAGGGTTAGGTATAGGCGGTCCCATATTTATATCCGAGCGTTGTAACCACGTTGTCGAAGGTTGTTACTTCGTCGTGGTCCTGGCTCGACGCTTTCTCGCACCCGTCAATTGGTGTACACTCAGAAAACCTTACAAGCTATTAAAGGCCTTAAATAGAAAAGTAGCTGGTCATAACAAAGTATTTTGAGCATACATAAGCTTCCATTTACGCCCTTCCCAAGGGCATAAACGATTTATGCCCTTAAAGGGCATAATTTTAATGCCTTTGTTTCACCAGTGTGGCGTTGCAGAGGCGGAAATCGCTTATGCCCTTCAAGGGCGTAGTGCAATTTAATGCCTTTGTTCCCTTTTCAGTTACATGGGTTTTCTGTTGGATGGTTTCATAAGTGCGACAGGCTTTTCTAGTTCGTTTCTGTTTTAGGGGAACGCTACCATCAAGTTTATCCACTCAATTTGGAATGTTGAAGTTTCAAAAAGCGAAATGAACCAGGTAGGAAGCGTCGAAATGTTGAGAACGGAATGTAAACTTCGTGAGGTTCCCTGCCCCACCATGGTGGCGGGGGCGTCAATTTTTTACGAGAAGCAATTTTTGACACTTTGCCCCCCTCCCCCTGTTTTTTAAGCCCTCTGTAAGGTAACAAATCAATTGTGAATTACGTTTTTGAAAAATGCAAATTTAAAATATTAGTTTTGAACAGGTAGGCAAAGTAGCTCAGAGACGTTTAAATATGATGACTACGTTTTGCAGCAAAGCAGCCTCGTCGGTCGCCCTCGTTTACTGAGCTACGGCCGTTTCAAAAACATGCTGTTTAGGCGCCCACACATAGGGCATTTCCGCGAATCTTGAAACGGAAGGAAGAACACAAGTAAGTGCAACTTCCGTCCCCTCGCCTGAGGAGGGGGTAAAGATGGCTGCCCCTTGAACCAGTGGCGTGCGCAGAAATTTTGAAAGAGAATTGGGGGGGGGGGGTTGTGAGGCCCCGCTTTTTGCCTACTTTCAGGGGGAAAGTGACGCAAATTTGCCTACCTTCCAGACGGCTGTCTAGCGGCCAAAAGCCCCCCCACCCCCACCGCACGCCACTGCCATGAACTCCCTCCTCAGGCGAGGGGACGAAAGTTGTGCTCTTACTCGGTTCCTCTTCCTTCCGTTTCAAGATTCGCGGAAATACCCTATTGATGTTTGGAACCATGGGTTAGCAACTTTTAAAGCTACCCGCTCGCCAAGCCTTAAACAACTTTCGCAAATCCTAGGCTTACTTAGACCTTCACCTATTATACACTTAAACTGGCAAGGGCGTCCTCCTTCATTCCATAGTTCTTGCCCTCGAATAGGCCACATTTTCCGTCGAATTTTGAAGGTTTCTCTTTGTTGCCCGATAGGTCGCGTTGTGATTGTTGCAGACATCCGCGTTATTTCAAGTGATGAAGGAAGGTTGTGGGAAGACCCATACCGAATTTGGAATCGATTCGCTCATTCCAGGATTTGTAATGCCTCGTGAAACAGAAAGGGCTTCAATTATTCGTGACACTCAATTGATTTTTACCTTACTCTCCTAAACCGTCACAATGTTCTCATGTGAACTGGTGTGTTTCAGCTGGAACTTTTTGCTGCTCAAGTTTATCAGTGGCCTGTCGAGGTATCTTTCGGAGGCATCTTGACATTGCGCCTTGGCTGTCTCATTGAGGTATACACGACGGCGTGAACAATGTCAAAACTGTCCGCAAAAATCAACAAATTAAATTGAGTTTTGGCCTGTTCCGTTATGAGGGAAAGTCGATAGGGCACAATGAGACACCGACTAAGTTCCATCTGCTCACAGCAAACTATACGAAGAATCGCTTTGTAGTACGAAGAAAATAAAGGTTCACTGTAAAAATTCCGTACTTCAGTACAAAAAATGTACCGACAAATATAGTACGGAAAGTCGCACTTGTTCCATATGAACTCATGTAATCGGGCACGGAAAAAAGTACGGAGCAGTTCCGTAGGACAGGTACGGACGGTCCAGCCAAATTATGATCCGACATGTTCCGTATTTTTTCCGTTCTTTTTCCTCACAGTGATCGTAAAATCTAGCGAAGAATTGCTTTGAATTATGAAGCAAAATACTTCGTGATACGAAGCATTTCTACGATGCCGTTATTTTCTTCGTAGTTATGAAGGAAATGCTTGGTAGGATTTTTAGACTGCTTCCATCGTGTTCCTCAACTCATTCACGTACCAAAATTTACAAAAAAGAAAAAAAAAAACTGAAAATTGTCATTATTTTGGAGAGGATGTCTCCATGACAAGCACGCATATGACTGGAAACTTCAAAATTGTGACTTTGTACCGACTTGTTCAGAGAAGAGAGAAAAGGGATCTGCTACCCTCCCTCATGACAGTTTTGTTGTTCGCAGGTGCTGTTATCAATAAGTGGCTTTGCCATTCTGGGTGTGCAAATGACAGGAGCACTCTCGAAAGTACACGACGAAGCCCTGGTACCGGAGAACTATTCACAACACTTCAATGACGTTGTAAGGTGGTAAACTGTACGTTAAATCAGCCATCCCACCACTTTCGTTCTGTGGTCCATGAGTGAAGGATTTTGCTATCCTGGTCCGTGCAAATGAAACGGCGAATTCGACGCGTCCTAATAGAATATTCATTACTGTAAGAGCATATCCAAGACAATCCTTACTGTCAGTGCAGATTTTGAACTATCCTAACTGCAGAGGTACCAATCAGTGTTCATGAACTATCTTTTCTGAAAATCAGTGATTCTCGATATCTCTGAAAAACTGTGTCCACATATTTATGTAAGGATGCCCAACTCGGGGAGAAATTTGAAAAATAAGTTAAGGACTTTAAAAAGCAGCTATCGGCACTTCAGGTAGTTTGCATTTGAAAAGAAGGTTGTCAAACCTTGTGACATTAAAATCAAGTAAAAACGCAGGTTTAGGGGGGTAAAAACGGGGTTATTTTGTACCACAAATCTGAAATCGGCAAGGTGGTTAAAACAGCCATGGGACTTAAAACGTGAAAAAGTCCACACTTGAGAGGGCTTCGACAAATTTTGTGCCCAAGCTTGTAATAGTCGCACCCGGGGGAGGGCGGAATCGATGGAAAATGTGGGAAAGCCTTTGCCTTTTCAAAAAGTGGCCAAAATGCCGACGCTTGTGCGAAAGAAGGTTGAAAAGGTGGGACGAACTCCTTTAAATATCTCACCTTTCCCATTTTTTAACGTATCCGTGCAAACCTGTCCTACACTTGGATTTGCAGTGCACAACGATAACTTGGTGATAGCTCTACGGCAAGCTTGAATTAAGTCGTTGAAGGGTGAACTAATATTAAGAATACAGATGGAAGCATACCAGTCAAGACTGTAAGCCATTGTTTTATTTGAGCTCATCTCCAGTCGAACAAAGAAATAAACGTGAATGAACGCGGGTAAAAGTAGTTCGGTCCGCAAAGAAAATAAAGAAACTGAGAAAAGAAACTAGGAATAGAATGCAGTGGATACAGCTGCGTAGTTCACCTCTTCATGGCAAGGTACATCACGTCCGCCGCCAAGGAGACACTTTCCTTCATGAACGCAGCCCACGATGCAGACGCAAGAATCTCCGAGAGATGAGTCCTCACGAAGGGGTCTGCCACGAGGGGGACCATGTCTGGGCACACAACGTCCAAGGCCTGGAAAATAAAACCAACAACTTCGACAAAAGGCCAGCGACACACACTGTAGGCTAGACACAATTGTTTCGTCCCTGAAAATTGGGTAATCAGACATGTGGTCAAACTCCTTGCATCTTAAGTGTGATTATGAACTTATTTCGAAAGCAATACTACAGTGTAAATGTAATGAAAAAGTTATTGTGTTGTAAGTGCCATAAATTTTCTATTGAATTTATGTATGTTATCACTTTATCAAATGTGATGATTTAGGCCAAAACCGGCAAAGTCATAGAAAAACTTCTAAACACATTTTCTGAGCCCAGTTTCTTCCAAAAAAATTAAGTTTAACTTGGTTGCAGTTATCCTAGTTCACACCAGAATGACGGGTCTCAAGGTTGTCTATGCGAAATCTCGCCCAAATCGGATGAAAATTGTGGTCTGTATCACGCAAACCGTGTTATTTTTGCACCGGTTTCGAAAAATTTGTGAAGTCGTAAATGCCGCCTCCAAGTGCGCTCCATACGTGTGATTTTGGTCCGAAATGAAAGTTAAGGGGGAACCCTGGTGAAACTTTCAAGTAGGCTTCAAAATAATCCCAGGACGTTGAAACTTTGCTCAATTATTAGGTTCATTATAGTGAGTTCCCAAAACAAAATTCAATCCAAAATGTTGAACGGTCTCTGAGAAAAGTGGCTTTTTAGTGTTTTTTGGAGCGTTGGGGAAAAATCTTCCTGCGTCTTTCATTGGGACGGAAAGTGTTGAAATTTTTTTTGGGTTATCCTTAAGATGTATAGAAGAGATTTTAGTGACGGAATTTTCAAAGTCAACTTCTGTCCTGAGATATGAGTTTTCAAGTTTAAACATTTTAAAAAAAGTGATTTTTTTCCCTTTTTTTCAAACTTTTAGGTGTGTTTTAAAAAAAAGTAGGGCTGATATCAAGATTCCGTCACTAAAATTTGTCGACAAGTCATCAATGATTAGAGTCCATGCAAGACGACTCATGTGGGTGTCAACCAGGAACGCAGGAAGTCTTTCTACGACAAAATTTTTTGTCGACTGAGCAAAGCTGTGAAGTTGAGCGTAGAAGCCAACGACAACTGACCTCAATGTTATTTCCTTCCAAATGATAAAGAAACTACCCACTTAGCTTAAAGGTGTTCAACCTGTTGAATCTGAAAGCTTCCATGCACATTTTTATCTAAGAACTTCAAAAAAAATATTTTTGGCAATTTTGGCCATTTTTTCACCATGGTCCCCCCTTTACTCCCGTCGAAATAATACAAATTCTTACTTTGAGACGTCCTACAACGTTGCCCACGCTCATGGTGTAGAGGATGCGCCGCTGGCACTGTCCGCGCAGCGTCCCGAGGTTGTACTTCTCCGCCAGGAAAAGCAGCCCCATGAGGAAGGTGTCGGCGTGCTCACCTTTAGTCCAGGCAGGTTTAGAATCAGTGTAGACGCACCTGGAGAGGAATAAAGGTAAAAACGTACAAGCATGGTTGACGGGCGGTTTCCTGCGGTAAAAAAGGCTCCTGCTTCTCCCTGGTAGCCTGGTACACCACTCGTGATTACCAGGAAGCGCTTGGGAAAACCAGAAACCTTTTTCCGTGTTGAAAATGACGATAACCTACAGCTCCTTGGGGCTAAAATGTAGGTCAAGAATTGACCGAATGGGCTAAGTGCAAGAGCAAAATACATGACCTCACATTCGTTGGCTACCAGTAAAGAGCTTTTCGGACCTTAAAAATTAATATTACGCTAGCAAAAAATGCACTACGATTGCAAACGCGATGAGTGCAATGCAGCTGAGATATCGCACCATACGTGCAATGGCTTAGCCATATCGCACCTTACGTGCAATGCGTCCCGAAAATGCTAATGCATGGGGATGGGATGGCATTGCACTTCATGTGCAATGCTTTTGCATTACACCAATTGACGCTATACTCATAGCGTTTGGATTCTCAGTGCGACCAATGAAAGGGACACATTACTGTATTATATTATAAATTAAAATCGTTCAAAATCACTGATAATGCTTATTTTAAACCGCATTCCAAGTCCGTAATGAAAGGTCGAATAGGCGTAATGGGTATCAGTAAACACAGTAAAAACTCTACTAAGAATAGCTTCGTAATACGAAGAAAATGAAGACATACACACAAAATCTATGTGTGTACTCAGTACACACATAGATTTTGTGTGTAGTAACATCGACAGAGAAATGCTTCATAATTATGAAAAAAAATCCTTCGCAATACGAAGCATTTCTTCATAATACGAAGCAATTCTACAATGCCTTCATTTTATCGTAGTTATGAAGCAAATGCTTCGTAGGCTTTCAAGATTGAGGGTAAAAGCCGCTTGACCATTTACGAGAGCGAATACCTCCTCGCCAAATTCGGACTCAATGAGTCTTTTATTACGTAACCAGAAAACACAATGGAAAATGTGTGCCCTCACCTCAGCATCTCCTTGAAGGCTTCAGGGATGTCGTCCGCGACGGTCACCCGCCCGGTGCGTCGGTCCAGGGTGTCGTGCTGGAACATGGCCTTGAAGACGTCGCTGCAGGCCCCAAGAATTTGGCTGTGTGCCTTGATCTCCTCGCCGCCAACCACGAACGTCACGTCGGACAGCTCGCCAGAGTCCAGCAGCGCCTGCAATTGGAGTTGCAAGTTATACTCCCAGCCTCGTACTAACATTTTTACGTCAATTAATTGACTTTTTCCCCTCTGCCTTCTTAAGTTTGCTCCCCCACACTCTAAATGTCTTGGCAAGCAAACTTACCACTGGCTTTGCAGTGTTAGAAAATTCTATTCCAAGATGAAGTCATAAGGCTAATTCGTGCCTGAAAAACCGTCAAGCTCTTAGCCACACTGCAAATGCAAAGGCGATACGTAAGTACATTTTTTGGCGACACAATTGATTATCGCCAATAAACGGCCCTAGACACCAAATGTTATGTACAATTGATCCAGGAAGCGGAAGAAGGGGATAACTCAATTTTGGCCATTTTTCAGGAGAAACAAAAAACTGTTAGCAGGGAAAACTAAAACAAAACAAATGAATGTTGCACATGTTAATAATTTCAAAAAGCATTAGTAAAATTTTGAAAAAAAATCAAAAGTGTAAGGTCACTCCGTAGAGGATTTCTGCGACTTATCACTTTCCGTTGAAATGGAAAACAGAGTCAGCTCACCTTATATTTCCTAAACAAAGAGGAATTTGGAGACAAGTCAAGTGGAACAATAGTCTGCATAAAGTGTATGTTACTCTGGTGTATTTTTTGGACTTAGCTCTTTTTTCCAAATTGAAATTTAAAATTTAGGGGGGGTTAAGTTGAGTTGATTCTTTTTACACTAGATTCATAAAAACACAAGTTGAGTTATATCCTTTTGCCAATTTGTCAAACGGACTCATGTAGACTAAGGTTGAGTTATCTCCATTTTCCAATGAAATTTAGACTGTAAAAGGGGTTAAGTTGAGTTATACCCTTTTTCCAAGTGGATTTTCTCCTAAACTGCTTGGAATTCAGTCAAATAATTTGGTGTAATGATGTAAACAATTCTAAGGCACAATAATAAAATAAAAACTCAATTTGGGGATAAGTCAAGTTATTCCCTTCTTCCGCTTCCTGGATCAATTTTGTACGAGACATCACAGTTTTTTGTGCACACGAACTTTTCGTACAATTTTTGTACGAAAAACTGCACATTTTTCGCCATTTTTGTACAAAATTGTACAAAATTTTGAACAAATTTGTACGAAAAGTTCGTGTGCACAAAAAACTGTGATGTCTCGTACAAAATTTGTACAAAATTTTGTACAAATTTGTACGAAAAGTTCGTGTGCACAAAAAACTGTGATGTCTCGTACAAAATTTGTACAAAATTTTGTACAAATTTGTACGAAAAGTTCGTGTGCACAAAAAACTGTGATGTCTCGTACAAAATTTGTACAAAAACATTTAGTGTGTGCGGAAAAGTATTGCCTTCAGAACGGCGATACACAGAAGTATCGCCGTACCACCAAAACTACGGCATTAAATTAAGACCTTGCACCCTTGATTCGTTCAACTTTTATTGCCAAATCGTGGCAATACTCCAAAGTATCTCTAAATTTTGGCGATACTTTTGTGTATCGCCGTTTTGAAGCCAATACTTTTCCGTAAGGTCGTTTATTGGCGATACTCAATTGTATCGCCAAAAAAGGTACTAAAAGTATTGCCTTTGGATTTACAGTGCATATCAGCGAGGAGGAACTTTTTACCTTGAGGCTCTCAACGACATGACTTCCATCCGCTGACAGCTTTGGGACTTCCTCAACGGTTTTGAAGTGGCAAAGATTCACCGTGACGGGCAGACAGCGCATCTGGCTCCGTCCGTTCGCCACTTGTTGAATGCAAGACGCAGGTACCTTCACGCTTCTCAAGCTGAAGTAGAAGCTGTTCCTCAAGGGCCCCGTCACAAGAAGACCAGCAGGGCAGTAAGCACATGTGGCATAACCGTAACTGCGACGGCAGTTGCTGCACATCGTTTTGGACACGAGCTGACACGTGGCGTGAACGAACTTCTTTTGAGGTGGATCGTTCTCGTCAGTCGTCATGGCTGCGGCTTCCAGATTCAATTCGTACTGACCGGTGACGGCTGGATCGGGACTCATGGACAAGGTCACCTCCCATTTCACATGATTGTCTGACGATGTCAGGGTCCTCTTCATCTCGAGCGACGACAGGGCGTCCGCGCAGCTCAGAGTGAAGTCCGACGTCGTTATTTGCCCCTGATCGAATGCCATGGTTTCTTCACCTCAGAGCAACGAAATATTGTTGAAAAACACTGGGCCTGCCTGCAAAACGTTAAATGATTTTATGAAAGGTTAAAATTCTTGAAAAGCTGATGTCTGCACTCAGGGCGCAGAGTGTACACTCTCCGTCTGTTACTGACTTTCATCACACACTCTACATGTCTTATGGTGAAAGTCTGCACCACGATGTTGTGGTGAAGATCTTCTCCACTGAAAATCAAATGGTGATGTATCTTACTCCCTGAGGGGTGAGACAGAACTAGTGTCCCATAATTACCCCAACTGACCAAGGGGCCATGGGGTAATTCCACGCCAACTTGAACACTCATAAACCTGACGTCGTCCGATTTCAACCATAATTGGTGAATCGCCATCAATTAGTGTCTAGAATGACCCCCTAAAATGGTTTTGGCCAATAGCCAATAGTTTCGGAGATATAGCACTTCACCATTTTTGGCCATTTTCCAAGTTACAGAAACAGTGTTTCACTTCAGTGCAATTATCTCAGCTCCTATTGGACTTACAGGTCTGATTCTGTGCTCATTGGAAAGGGAATGAAATTTTGCATCAAAATGTGGTACTCTGAGGTTGATAGGTCAAAAACTCAAATAAATGTCTTTTTCGATTAAATGTTTAACTTGAAAATGTCGTTTGAAAAATACGTCATCCTGAAAAAAAAATTTTTTTTTCACCAAAAGGTCTCCTAAGGTGTCTACTTTTATGTCCTAAAGTGCTTCAAAAAGTATTTGAGTTTTGAAGTATTTGCAGGGGAAACCGTGATGAAATGTGCCCAAAAAGTGCACTTTTTTCACTCTTTGCCCAGCCTACGATGGTCCTGTTGCAGTCCCACTCCTTCACCACCCTCAAAACTATTACTCCTATGCCCAGCATCGATTGGTATGTTTCAAAGTAATTGTTTGAGAAAGTCTGAGCGCTCAGGGATGGGGTCAGATCAAATTCCAGCTTAGAACTTTGCGTAACAAGACATCAAATCGACTACTGAGTAACTCCACCCCAAGGTGGACAGAGATCTGGGATTGGGTCACGGATTCGGTTCAAACTTTGTGGGTTCAATAGGTACCACTAGTACCTATCAACCCTTAAAGGAAAGTTGGCTAGCTCAATTAGAACCTGAGATATTTACATTTTTCTAAATTTGACAAATTTAGCGGTAAAATGTCGCTTCCTGATTTTTTTAGGGTAAAAGTTGTTTTTTTAGTTCTGGCTTGTGATTCTTCTTTCTAGTCATAAAAAAAGAAAAAGAAAGGTGGTGGTAGGCCAAGTTTTGTACGTTGCTTGGTTTGGCCTACTTGAGCAATTTTGTCGAATTCATCGAAACTTTAAAACCCAGAATACTCCACCTTGGATTAGAACCTGGTATGTCTCATTCCACTTCTTTTACTCTAATAAACATCTGCTATATAGTCCCTAGCACCAGCAATTCCATATAGGCCAGAAAAATAAAAAACAAATTTCTCAATTTTCTACTTTGACCTAATTTTGGCTCTTTCATCAAGATTGGGGCTTCTACATGACCATGGGTGTAAGGAAAGATCCTCCCTGCCCTCAATTTAGATGGTATCAACACAAACAAAGAAACCCAAACTCAAGGTGCACTTAAACATTATAATAAAATTGTTTCGAGCAAATTTTACTAGTTTTCGAGGGGTGAGAGGAATTTAAATCGGAGGAAAATGTAATGAGTCTGCCAAAAGTTGATTTGTGGTTCATTAGTTAGCTTTCTCTAGTAGGTTGTGAGCCCTTTTAACTATGACTATAAAGGGACTTTACCAGGAATCACCAGGGACTATAAAGCAATTGTTTATTACAGTAAAAGAAGTGGAATGAAACATACCAGGTTCTAATCCAAGGTGGAGTATTTTGGGTTTTAAAGTTTCGATGAATTCGGCAAAATTGCTCAAGTAGGCCAAACCAAGCAACGTACAAAACTTGGCCTACCACCACCTTTCTTTTTTTTTTTTATGACTAGAAAGAAGAATCACAAGCCAGAACTAAAAAAACAACTTTTACCCTAAAAAAATCAGGAAGCGACATTTTTCCGCTAAATTTGTCAAATTTAGAAAAATGTAAATATCTCAGGTTCTAATTGAGCTAGCCAACTTTCCTTTTAGGGTTGATAGGTACTAGTGGTACCTATTGAACCCACACAGTTTGAACCGAATCCGTGACCCAATCCCAGATCTCGGTCCACCTTGGGGTGGAGTTACTCAGTAGTCGATTTGATGTCTTGTTACGCAAAGTTCTAAGCTGGAATTTGATCTGACCCCTTCCCTGAGCGCTCAGACTTACTCAAACAATTACTTTGATATATACCAATCGATGCTGGGCATAGGAGTAATAGTTTTGAGGGTGGTGAAGGAGTGGGACTGCAACAGGACCATCGTAGGCTGGGCAAAGAGTGAAAAAAGTGCACTTTTTGGGCACATTTCATCACGGTTTCCCCTGCAAATACTTCAAAACTCAAATACTTTTTGAAGCACTTTAGGACATAAAAGTAGACACCTTAGGAGACCTTTTGGTGAAAAAAAATTTTTTTTTTCAGGATGACGTATTTTTCAAACGACATTTTCAAGTTAAACATTTAATCGAAAAAGACATTTATTTGAGTTTTTGACCTATCAACCTCAGAGTACCACATTTTGATGCAAAATTTCATTCCCTTTCCAATGAGCACAGAATCAGACCTGTAAGTCCAATAGGAGCTGAGATAATTGCACTGAAGTGAAACACTGTTTCTGTAACTTGGAAAATGGCCAAAAATGGTGAAGTGCTATATCTCCGGAACTATTGGCTATTGGCCAAAACCATTTTAGGGGGTCATTCTAGACACTAATTGATGGCGATTCACCAATTTTGGTTGAAATCGGACGACGTCAGGTTTATGAGTGTTCAAGTTGGCGTGGAATTACCCCATGACACATTGGAAATAAATGCAGCCCGGGGCATAATATGAGACTCCTTCGTGCCTAAAAATGCACCAGAGGAACCAACATTCTCTGCTGACTGTAGTTCCACTTGACATGTCTCCAAACTCCACTTTGAATGGGAAAAAATGACTATCTTTTCCATTTTAACGAACAGTGATAAGTCACAGAAATCCTGTGCGCAGTGACCTGAAACTCCTGATGTTCATCTCAAAATTTAACAAACGCTTCTTGAACGTATTATCATCAACAACATTCCCTTATTGACGTTTAGATTTCCGTCCTAACAGTTTTCTGTTTCTCCTGAAAAATAGTCAAAATGGAGTTATCCCCTTGTTCCGCTTCCTGAATCAGTCAGTACTGTTTCATTCTCAGCGCAACGTCACTCTTGAAAAATCTACATAGTCTGCATCAAGAACTATTGTAAACCTAGAAGAGACCTTCCAGTCAATTGAGGGGCCGTCTAATTTGGTTTGCGCACTTGAAGCGGACACTTTAAGACCCCTTGAAAAGATATCTTTCACCCCTCAGTGCTCAACGCATTTTCGAAATGCCCTTCCCCTTAAACAAGGTCAGCTTCCTACTCTACAAGGTAGGTTTACGCCAGACCGCGTCTTGTCGTAACAGGCTTCGCGATATCTCGCTGCCTGTTCCTCCAATCCGCGCCTGGCGTGCCTACCTTGGCCTGCGGCGCTAGCCTGCCTTCGGCAGGCAATGGCTTGTCCATCGTCGATTTCTTCTAACTTGATGCATGCTGGGGGCTCCGCCGCCCAGACCCCCTTTTCATTCTAGATCCCTTGTAACTTTTTAACTTGTCGAGGCTGGGGGGCTCCGCCCCCCAGACCCCCCTTCTTCAAGACAGAAGTGATCTGCCTGCAGAAAACTCGATTTTTCGCCGTTTTTTTAGGTGTTTTTTGGCTATAAAAACTGAACCAGTTGAGCTAGGATAGTGAAATTTCGCGTGTGCCGAGCCAAGGACATGCCCAAAAAGTGTGCAAAATCTCACCGAGATCGGCCGAGCCGTTCAGGAGGAGTAGTGCGGACACACAGACAGACAGACAGACAGACGGACAGACAGACAGGAAAAACTTTTCAATCCCAATGGAGTAACAGGCTTCGCTATCGCTCAGCCAACAAACTGAAGTGTGTACTCAGTATGCATCTACAGATGCATACTTATTGGCTGAGCGATAGCGAAGCCAGTTACTCCAGTGCGGTTGAAAAGTTTTGTCTGTGTGTCTGTGTGTCTGTCTGTTTGTCTGTCTGTCTGTGTGTCTGTGTGTCTGTCTGTCTGTCTGTGTGTACACTACTCCTCCTGAACGGCTCGGCCGATCTGGCTGAGATTTTGCAGGGATATTAGGTATGATCTTGGCTCGGCACACGCGAAATTTCACCATCCTAGCTCAACTGGTTCAGTTTTTATAGCCGAAAAACACCTTAAAAACGGCGAAAAATCGAGTTTTCTGTCGGTAGACCTCTCCTGTCTGGATAAAAGGGGGATCTGGGGGGCGGAGCCCCCCAGCCTGAACAAGTTGAAAAGTTACAAGGGTCAAGATCGTGTAATTTGTTGATGAAGCACCTCTACCTATTCTATAGAATAAAGGGGGGTCTGGGGGGCTCCAGCATGCAACAGTTCAGAAGTAACTGATGGTGGACAAGCATTGTCTGCCGAAGGCAGCCTAGCGCCGCAGGCCATGGTACGTACGCCAGGCGCGGATTGAAGGGACAGGCCGCGAGACATCGCGAAGCCTGTTACGACAAGACGCGGTCTGGCGTAAACCTACCTTGTAAGTACACACCTACAGATGCATACCTAGCTGAGTACACATCTACACTGAAAAACCAAACGTGGTCTAGACCGCACCAACTGGTGTGGTCAAATGGATGCCATTTTGACCACACCAGTTGGTGTGGTCTAGACCACGTTTGGTGCGTTTAGTGTGGTCTAGACCACACCAAACGTGGCCAAACGTGGTCTAGACCGCACCAAAAGTGGCCAAACGTGGTCTAGACCACACCAACTGATGTGGTCAAAATGGCATCCATCTTAGGGATGTGCGAATCAAGGATTTTCATTTCGAATCGAATCGAATCTTTCAAAAAAGTTTCGAATCGAATCGAACTTATAAGGATTCAGAATCGAATCGAATTCGAACTGAAACTAGAAAAAATTAGTGCATTTCAATACACAAAACACATGTAATAAAGGAAGGGCATAGAGTATGAATACAAAAAAGAAGAAAAGTTGAATACCTGATCTTGCTTTTGTATAAAAACTACGTTGTGCACGCGACTTTCAACCGTTCCCGAGCTACGGATTCGAAGACGAAGCACTGTCGATTCGAAATTTCGAATATTCGGGGTCGAAGCAAAGCGATCCGTCCCCGAATCGAATCAGCCCTGATTCGATTCGATACCGAACTATTCGCACATTCCTAATCCATCTGACCACACCAGTGGTGCGGTCTAGACCACGTTTGGTTTTTCAGTGTACAGATGCATACTTGATACTGGGCATTTATATGGTGACAAGTACACACCTACTTATGCATACTTGCCAAGTATGCACCTACAGATGCATACTTAACAGGTGATGCATCAGTAGATGTGTACTCAGCTAGGTATGCATCTGTAGGTGTGTACTTATAAGTATGCATCTGTAGATGCATACTGAGTACACACTTCAGTTTGTAGAGTACTACCGATCCACTTGATTTCCGGTTTGGCCAAGGCAGGTAAGGCAGGTACGCCAGGCGCGGATTGGAGGAACAGGCCGCGAGACATCGCGAAGCCTGTTACCTGTTACGACAAGACGCGGTCTGGCGTAAACCTACCTTGTTGTACTTCTGTCGGTTCAAAGGACGACAAGAAACTCCTCAAGCAGTCAGGAGATATACAACATAGTAACAAAGTATTAAGTAATACAGGAAGAGTGTAAACCCGTTACGTCAACGCCGAGTGACGAATAAAAATTAATCAATGAGCCAGAAACCAGTAGGAGCGTTCTATCGATTACATTTGTTCTTCCCTCGGCGACGAGCGAAAGCAGAACTACTAGAACTACAGCGAGGCCGAGAGAAAATGGCTCTGCGGAAGCGGCAGAACGGTGACGCTCATATTCAAGTAATTCGTAATCTGAAATAGGTCATTTTATCGAGTCCCTGCACCGGAAGTCACAGAACAAAAGTAAAGAAAGAACTGAAACCACTTCTGAGCAGCGCAGACATGAACTCCCAGTAGAGAGGGACGCCTGCGCATGCGCAGTAGCGACTTTGGTTCTTACTCTTTCGACTTCCGGCCTAGAATTTCGTGAACATAACCTATTTCTTTGATCTGTATGTAGTGTAGAACCTAGAACCTTCTCGAACATTCTCGAATCTTCTGGAACATTCTATAGGGTGTTGGAGTTGGTATTACTGGTAACAGTGTTTTGTCATAAGGCTGTGCCGATGTTCACTTGTCTGTAGACTGGAACTGTGTAAAGGCTGTGCTGCGTGAAGGGGGATAGAAAATACAGGTTAAGGTATGCACCATGTGCTGTTAAAAACTGTGTGATTATTCTACCCTTTTTCCTTTGGATACTACAAACATACCGAACTACATAGCAAGGAGGAATTATTAACAGGTTATGGGCCCAGATCATCGCTTGTGGTAAATATCAAATACAGGTGGTGACAGGCACATTATTTTCTGTTCCAGGTCAGATAGCACAGAGTTGCACGAGCTTTTGATGGATGAGACGAGCAATATTGTGAAGCTGAAGGATGCTTCCACAA